ACTCACACTAAGAACGGCGGACTAAACTCACACTTCACACATGCACGACACGCTACCCCACAGCACCGATCCACAGCACCAACCCCCAACTCCAACTCACCACATCAATTCACAACCACCAAATCATTAGTAAACTTGAAGCTGATTGTCGGGCAGCCGCCCTCCCGCCATCTCAATCAGGTCGGTGAGTGCACCCGTCAGCCAGCACATGACCAGTTCCTTGTACAATTGGCAGCTGCGGCTCTCTTGGTGTGTCAGACTCGCATCTCTTCAATCCAAATCTGATTTTCTCATTGTATTTCACTGCACATCGGTATCCAGCCACCGAACTCTGGTCATGTGAAGTGGAAAGTTGCAAGCGAAACATCAGCAAACAGTGACAGCGATCCAATAGTAATGTTGATGACATCCCTGAAATGAATTCTAAGTTAATTGCTAATGTAATTTCAATCATCGGATTACGAATCAGTAATTGACGGAGCCAGCTTAGTGGTTACCAGTAATTACCAGTAATTCGAGCAAGTACAACAAATCAAACGCAACTACACAGCTGGTACAGGGTGTGCGTATGTGTGTGTGAATTTTGGCCAGTTTCATAAACATAATCACACTTCAATCCCCATGGGGTTCATATCGGCCCCAAGGGAGAACTATCTAGGAAAAGCGATCCTTTATGGACCTGATGGACCCACCGTGCATGGGAAAAGCCTGCCACCCCTTTTATCCGCGCGCGATTGGACCACTTGCTGAGCCCATCCTGGTTGATCACCCTGTTTGATCCGGAGGCCTGGGAAGCCATCACTGAAGCGTAAAATAGTGTTGCGTGCACGTGCATGCAACCTGCTGTTACCGTGGCATTTGGCTTATCCCAAGATTAATGTGCTTCTGTTTCTTTCTTTTGGGTATTTTCCTTTCAAATGTTGGCTTGTCCAAGCCAACCCATGTAATGTACAACGTGCATACAGGCTCATCGTCCCCCTTGACCACAAGCGACCCACCCAGTGAATCGGTGGTCAACCTGAGACGTCATGAATACTACTGTGACGAACAGCGCTGATCAGCGCCTGGCACACTCTCACCCACGGTCGTAGGTCAAATGTTGCGCTGGACGCCAAGTCATGTTCTGTCACACAGTGTCACCGTCTCCGCCTTTCACACATACCATGTACGCCATGTGTGTCATGTCTCCCTGTACACGTACAGCGTCCTCACATGCTCTGAATGAGAAGCAAAAATGGGGCAATGTAATTTGACGGGTGGGAACATTTCAGATTGCTCGTATCAATTCTTGCCGTTTTCAATGTTCGTTTCAGTACGAATGCAGGCAGTGTCTTAAGAGACCGCCAAGGGGCTGCAGCGGTAGTGGTGCCGGCAATGCGGCAGGCGTCCATCATGACCTGGACCTTGCCTGCGAGTCGGAGCGAAGGTGCCGGAATTGCGCCAACGGGGCGCAGCTTGGGCTGCTGGGACCACCAGGCAAGATGCCGCCAAGCAGGTGGCCAGCCGGGAGGGAACGGCGAGGAGCGGACTTGCAGAAACAATTCACGCGATTCCCTCGGGTGAGTAAACGGCGTCCTTGCACCTTGGGAGGGAGACGCCGGGCAGGACAGGATATGGACCCCAAAGCGAAGAAGCAACGGACGCCTGCATCCACGGCAAGAGACGACAAGGTGCGTCTCGTGGTTGTTTTACAATGGACCGGACGACTTGCACAAACTGACCGGTCTGCGGCCCGGAAGCCCGCCCTCCTACAAACGCGAAGTGGCGGGGCTTCCGCAATAAATTGTTCTGGCACGGCCTGCAGTGACCGACCGCCTTTATTCGCACCCACATTCGAGCAATTCGGCCCACACTCTGTCCTCTCTCCCTCCGCGTTCCTCCAACGAGAAGCACGCGGCCCACTGAGGAAGCAGCAATCCACACGACATCCTGTCAAATCTCTGGTTGCAGAAGGCAACTCTACCGCCCTATGGGCGAGTTGCCCCCTCTCCTGAGGATGCGCACCAGTGGAAATGCGGTGGCGTCAAACTGTCCATGGGGGTCAGCCACCCTCTACACCGCCACGTATCCTCCTCTATTCCAAAAGATCGAAATGAATTTTCCAAAAAATTGAATCCTCCAGATGGAGAGTAGATGTTCGAAGGGAGCAGATTACCCTCTAGAAAATGATTCCCGGACGCCCCAGCGCGCCTCCTTGTGGCTGCCCAAACTGCAGTCCTCTCTGTACCACATTATGCTGATACAAGCTAGCAAATTCAAGGTAGGAAACAAGCATCAGCTTATCCCTGGGAATAATTGTACGATACCAACAACTCGTTTTCTGCGCAAGCAACGAAAATTGCACGGCCTGTCAAATCGTGCGTTTGCCCAAACTGCTCTCCACCGATTATCCTGCCAATTCCAGCATACAGCAGCCACCTGAACCAATCCCCAAGCATACTAAGATACAAGCGGTTGATGTTGACCATTGTCAACAACAACGACTATTGCCTTCCCTCCAAACATGTGGTAGTTATTCATGGAGTCAAACCCAGCATACCCATCCTCTCACCCATCCCTCCAATTCCCCACGTTGGGCGCAGAAGCTAGGGTCATGACGGAATACACTCCATGTCTTCCATCGCATCTTGCAGCTCCTTGAGCAGTTCGCCCGCAAGGTGCACGCCCTTGGGCTCCTCAATTTGCTCAATAAAGAATGAACGAAATCTAAATCCTACGAATCTGGCAGTGTGGATCGCGGCGATTGTACGACTCCCGTCGGGGGAGTAAGTCCACATCCCAGAGCCAGAGTTTCCTGGGGCGGTTTCGCAGTCATGCCCAACCATGCCATCAGCCTCTTCGAATTGGGATATTCCACTGCCAAGTTGGCATCGCACGTGTCAAACCACATTTGTCCAATTGGCTTGTCACCAGGGTACCCGGCGATATTCAACAGAACACTTGGTGGAAGCCCCTCCGCGGTGAAGTTCATGTACCTACACAACAGCCCGTTGTACCTGATCAGTCCGTCATGTTCCAGGTCGGTGGTGTATTTCTGTTCCATCCAGTAAGCATACCCCAAAACCCACTGCTCTTGCAAGCCACTGGTGTGCACATTCGCTCATCAGCCCTTGGTGCTGCGTCTATTAGTCTGCAGCTGATGCACGCTTATTGAATGACAAAAGGTACGATGAAAAGCATGTGCACCATATTCAGAACGTCTCGCAACAGGGTGGTCCAATGCACGGGCTCGAATTGAGAGGGAACTGTTTGTTCTGCTCAGACTGACTGACAACATAAAATATGGGCTCCCACCATAAGTACTGAGCTGCTCAGAAGTACATACTAGACTATTGTTTGGCTTGGTTAGCTTGGTTGCGTGGCATCGTTTCTGCTTGTGTAGAGGGCGGTCCATCCACAATACATGCAGCAACTTAAACCTGGCCAAAGTTTGCAACCTGAAGCCGCGACCCAAATGGCCATGTCCACCATCCTGGCAATGGTCTTTTGCGAATTCCAATTCTTTATTGCCCTTTGGAGTCGCCGTAAAACCGCTTGTTCAACCATCAGTGCAGTATCGCTTGACAATTCGACAGCAGCCAATGCGCTGCTCACTCCCATCAGACCCTCACGTGTCCGTGACTGTGTCTCCTGATACACCACACGCCCCGCACGTTGGCCAATTTTGGCCTGCTGGACGACGGCCGTCCTGCTGGAAGTGGTCACGGACGCCCCTGTCGAATCCAACACCCCTTTCCTTTCTGGCCCGCTTTTTCAGACCACGCCTGTTCTCGACACTTGACTACATGCAACGATCCACCCCTTTGCGCGTTCCCGGCCACCCATGTTCTTCAAAATGCTACGCAGTGACTTGGAATAAAAAACAGCGACCTGCACCCACGCGCACCTTCAGGGCGGACCTGGCGGGGGAGGGGACGGAAAACCCCCGTTGTAATAATCTCCGTGAAAAGTGACGTACCCATCCGTTTTAATGTTAGTTTTTAGGGCTAGGTTTAGGTTGGTTTTATAGGTTAGGTTTTAGGTTAGGTTTAGGCTAGTTTAGGCTAGTTTAGGTTAGGTTAGGTTAGGTTAGGCTAGGTTTAGGGTTTTTAGATTGTTTTTAGGTTAGGTTTTTAGATCTTGGGGTTTTAGGGTTCTAGGATTACCCTAAAACCTAACCCTACAAAAAACTAAAATCCTGAAAGCCGACGTCACCGCCACGTCACTTTGTACGGAGATTATTATACATTATTATACATTACTGTACATTATTATACATTAATTATTGCGAGCGAGCGAAGCGAGCGGAGCTTTATTATATATTATACAGCGGGGACTGGGACCGGACCCGCCCAGCCGGGCACACTACTCATTTGTCATGATCAGGCACCCCGCGCATGATGACATAATGGCCGATCTCCTCCACAACCCATCCAGGGCGGCTGGACCGCCCCGGGGGACGTAGGCCACGCCTACGTGAATTTCTTAGCGAGCCGCGTCGGCCCGAGCAGCCGGAGGCCGCGCGCCTGTGCCGTGAGCCGCCCCGTGGCGCCATCCAACGCCACCCCGGTCCTGCTCGCTTCGGTCGCCGGACTCCCGGCCACTGCCAAAACGGACTGATTGCGCCCCCGCCACCACGCGGGCATTCCCCGTCCCCAGCGACGACGACAATCCCCCCCCTCTACCCCCACGGGCGGAGCGGCAAGCTTGCTGCCTCCTGGATCGGAAGGCAAGTTTTCGATAAATGCATGTAGGTAACGAAGACAGCGACGCCCATCCAACCCAACAGACTGAACGCACCCCCGCGATCCCGGGGGCTCCGGCTTCCTCGCAGCGACGAACGACAACCCCATCCCTTCCGACAGGCGGAGATGCGAGATTGCGGCCTCCTAGTTCCGAAGGCAAATCTTCCACAAATGCATATATGTAACGAAAACAGCGACTCCCATCGCACCCGATTCACAGATCGAAACCCGAGACTCCCGGGCAATCAATACGCAAAACCCACACCCAGTCCCCACTCACCCTAGCTCCAGACCCGGCGTGCCCACCACCTGCACCAGCGCCGCATCGCTCGTGCCGTCGCCGTACAGCGCGAACCCGGTCGCGGGGTGCACCTGCACCGCCTGCCACCGCCCCAGCGGGTTCCCCAGCTCCCTTCCGTTCCTCCCCGGGTTGAAGTCCATGCCCGCGCGCAGCTGGAACGTCTCGTCGTTCCACACGCAGTGGCCGGCGGTCAGGTAGTGGCACGGGCCCACCAGCGTGGCCGAGCAGCCCAGGCTCAGCTGACCCACCATCCTCAGCGGCTCGTCGGTCGACCTGTCTAGCGGCACCCGCACCCGCCCGAAGGACGTGTCCGGCAGCCCGGGCTCCACGCCGAAGGATCCGCCCCCGCCGAGCTGCAGCACGCCGCGTCCGCTGCCGCCAGATCCGACCCCCGCCTCCCTCAAAAATCGCCGTGCTGGCGTCGAATCCGCGAAATTCCCCGCCAGTTTGCGCCCTTCCGTCGGGGTCGATCGCGCGATCTCACCATCGGAGTCGTTGCGCCCGGCGCCACTCCGCCGCACGCACACCGTGCCATCGGCCAGCACCGTCATCGCGTCGTGCGCGTCCGGCTCGCCCATTCCGTTGGCCGCCCACATGTCCCGTGCCGCGCCGCACATCTCCCGATGCTCGCCCTGCGCATTGCCCGACCCGATCGGGACGTCCTCCAGGGGGCTCGAATCGATCCCCGCGCGGCCCTCCTCGAAGCACTCGTACCCGCGGGCCCGCATCCGCTCCTTGCACTGCTCCACGGCACCACCCAAGTCCGCGTGGCATCGCGGGATTGCGATGCCAAGAATGCACAGCAAGCACAGCAGGCCTGCGCGCCTGGGATCCATGGCTCCTCCTCCCTTGGGCCCCCACCGGCGGTCTGGAGTCCAAACGTTGCGGGTCTGGTGTCGTGAAGCAAGGGGCCCACGCTTAAGTAAGTCGTCTGTGCTGTGTGCTGTGATGTACTGCCCCGGACTCAGGTCATGCCGGGGCCCATTGCAGTTGTGGTGGGGCATCCGGGGATTGCGATCACGGTGTACAGTGGCAGATCAGACCTGGGCGAGTTGTTCGAGGCAGCTTCGTGTGGGTCTGGTTGGGCCCAGTGCGGGAAGGCTGGGTGAACTGGGGTGATTTTGGATGGTCATGACGATGTCCCTAACGAGGGCACTCCGACGGGTTGCATCAATGTATGGCGTGGCCAGTTGTGAGCTGGAGTCAGATCGGCAGTGCGATGTCACGGCCCTCTGTGCGGTGTCGTGTGTCCAGGCCTACGGCGCGTTTTTACGTCAAAACACGTAAATACACGCTTGTGTTTACGCAAATAACGAGAAGCCTGCCTGTGTCCGGTGTCGGACGCGGTGTTGGGCTGGGCCGCACACGGAGAGTATGTCCCTTGGGCCGGTGTGGGCATCCTGCTGGCGCTAGAGCTCTTTTTCCTGAAATGGTGGTCTCAGTGGCGGTTAGTGTACGCATAGCGACAAAGCCAAACTAAAGCGATATTCTACAGTCTCGACAACGAACTCTGGAGTTAATGTATTGTTTGCGCTAGTGTGTTTCGCTGGGCAACCCTGGGTTTGGAACGTTCGGCCCACGCCGAAGCAAATGGCGGTATGTGTACATGCACAGATCTTGGACGTTCTGTGGTGCTGTGACTAAAGACCAGGCCGTCGTTGGCCAGCTTCGCTCCGGAACGTCACGCAAATGTCCTCTGGGATGTGCACTCGTGGAACAGGATGACTGATCGTCTGTCAAACGGATGTGAGTGGCGCCCATGAAGCTCCTCGTTGATTGCAATTACCCAATCAACACAGCTCTGCGGTTGTACCTGCGCGGGTGGCACCTGCATGCAGAGCAATGGCAGGCTCGTTTGTTAACTCAGCGTCGTTTCGCGAGCGACATAGCACTGAAATGCCATGACGCTGAAATGCTGAAACTCTAGTGTTCTTCAGGACAGTAAGGCTGCCGGCTGACATTGTCGTTGTCGTCACAACGGCGAGATGGCCAGCGAATTGCGGACGCGGTGGGTACATGTGCCAACACAACATGGGTAAATTTGCCAGTCCCACTTCGCTTTCTTGCTTCCACGCTCACCATTGCTGCCACTGGCTGCAACGATGGATTTAGCAGTTGGCCGCGCCAGACCGTCGTGTCGGCGGCCCCTCCTGTTCACTGCCGCTCAACTTGCTTGGTCCAGAGTCCAGGGGAGCTGTCATTGAAGCTTACAGTAGGTGATCCCTGCCCACAAGTAATGTAGTGTCGTTCTTAACCAATGATAAGATCGTTTCTTTTTGCTTCTTTCCTGCAGGTCCATGCAATGGTGGGCTGCCCAAGCCATCACAGTGCACACCGCGATGCACACCATGTATCCCAATGCACACCGTGTGTGGAGTAGCGACTCATCGTCCGCCTTGAACACGAGGGGCCCAACCAGCAAAACAGCGGTCATCATGAGGCGCCAGGAACGCAGTGTGAATTGTGAATCGCATTCATGTTTCTGATTAGCAACAAGAATAGAGTTATGGGTGAATTAATGGGCGGAATGCAAGCCACGCCCAACATGCTGGGGCCTGGGATGCGTGGGGCCCCCTGGTGACCGAGCCATGCCTGAGCCATGGCGGAGGTGCCGCGAAATGCACCAACGGCACAAAAACGCCTGCGGCGGGAGTCACCAGGCTAGTCGCCGCCAAGCAGTTGGCCAGCCGGGAGGGGACGCCGAGAACCGGACGTGCAGACTGATTTCCGATGATTGCCCCACACTTCGGGTGAGCAAACGACGTCTTTGCACCTTGGGAGGGCGACGACGGGCAGGACAGGATATTGCCGCCAAAGAGAAGATGCAATGGTCGCCTGCCTCAGCGGTAGGAGACCAAAAGGTGCGTCCCATGGTTGTTTTACAATGGACCGGACAATGTACCCCTGTTGACCGGTTTGTGTTCCGGAAGCCTGCCCTCCTACAAAGCGAAGTGGTGGGCTTCCACTGATAAATTGTTCTGGCGCGGCTTTCCGCGATCGACCGTCTTTGTTCGCGCTCACACTCGAACCATTCGGCCCCAAATCTGTCCTCTCTCGCTCCGCGTTTCTCCAAAGCTCCACGGGGAATGTGTGAGCCATTAAGGAAGCGGCAAGCGACACGACATCCTTCAAAACTTCTATCTGAAGATCCCGCTCTACTCCTCTCTAGGCGAATTACCTCCTCTCCTGAGGATGTGCGCCGATAGAATTTGTGGCGTCCAACTGGCCATGGCGGTCGACCGCCCTCTACCCCGCCTCAGTATTCTGCTCTATTGCAACAGATGGAAATGACATTTCCAAAAGAATTAGATTCCTTCAGAAGGAGAGTAGATGTTCAAAGGAAAAAATGCCCTCTAGAAAATGATTCCCTGATGCCCTGGCGTCTCCTTGTGGCTGTTCAACAGCACTCATCTCTGTGCAACATAATGCTGATACAAGCTAGCAAGTTCAAGATGGGCAATAAGCATCAGTGTGGCCCACAGGAAGATAAGGACGATGCCATCAACTTGTTTTGTTCACAAGCATCGAAAAATTGCGTGGATTGCAGAACTGTGTGTCGCCGAAACCTTCCCTCGATCATTTTTCCTGCACAGCTAAATCCAGCATACATCGCCAACTGCACCAATCCCCATACCAAGCATATGAAGTTCCCAATGGTTTGCGTTGACCAATGTGAACACACAGCTGTTACTCTCTTCCCTCCGAAGCATGTGGAAGTTATTCGTGCCATCGGCAGTCAAACCAACCTAAGCAACTTCCCATCCACCCCTCCAATTGCTCACACTGGGCACTGATTCTAGGGTCAGGACGGAACACACTCCATGTCATCCATCACACTTTGCAGCTCCCTTAGCAGGTCTCCCGCTAGGTGCACACCCTTGGGTTCATCAACTGCCTCAATGAAGAAGTTAAAGTTAAATCCCACGAATCTGGCAGTGTGGATGGCGGCAATTACACGGCTCCCGTCCTCAGGGGAATACGTCCACATCCCAGAGCCAGAGTTTCCTGGGGCAGTTTCGCAGTCATGCCCAACCAGCCCCTCAAACTCTTCAAACTCGGATTGTTCGCTGTCGGGAAAGCTGGCATCGCAAGAGTCAAACCACATTTCACCTATTGGCTTGTCACCAGGGTATCCAGCGATGTTCAGCAGGACGTTTGATGGGAGCCCCTCCGCGCTGAAGTTCATGTACCTGCACAGCAGCCCATTGTACCTGATCGGTCAGTCATGTTCTTGGTCAGTGGTGTGTTTCTGCTTCATCCCAGTCAGCATACTCCACAACCCAGCGTCCCTCCAGGACACTGGCATGCACATTTGTTTGTCAGCCCTTGTTGTTTATTCATGAGTTGTGCAATTTACGCATGCTTGTCAATTGAGAAAATGGACGTCAAAAAGCATGCACATCATATTCAGAACGTCGCACAACCGAGCAGTCCAATACCAGGCTTGAATTGATGAGGGGCATCTGTTTGTTTTTGGTCAGACTGGCTATTTGCTGTGCGGAAGGACTCGCACCACAGGGAGGTTCAAGCGATTGGCTCTTGCCATAAGTTCATGCAACACTGTGCTGGCTATTTGCTGTGTGGAGGGACTTGCACCACAGGCAGGCTCAAGCTACTGGCTCTCGCCATAAGTTCATGCAATGCTGTGCTGCTCAGAATTACATGATAGTGCCGTTTGGTTTGCTTTACTAATTTGGTTGGCATTATTTCCCCTCGTGTGTAGAGGACAGGTGCCCTTCTGAGTGGGCGCTAAAGCACATGTTCAACCATCAGTGCACTTTCGCATGGCAAATCAAAAGGAGTCAATGCAGAGCTCAGCCCCTTCAGATCCTCAGATACCCGTGCTTGGGTCTCCTGATCCATCATACGGCCCTAAATTTGGCCAGTTTTGGCCTTCTGGACGATGGCCGGCCTGCTAGAAGCGATCCTGGAAGCCCCATTCGAATCCAGGACCCGTCTTCATTCCTGGCCACAAGTGCGCCATGTTTCTTTGGACAACGTCGATTCTTGACACGTGACAATATCCCATCCATCTACCGTAGTATATTCAACCCTTCCGCATGGTAGCGTAACGCTTGGCCTTTTTTTTGGGAAAAAGTAAATTAAACAACGCTCGTTTAGTCAGATTTTCGCGGAGCAACGTAAAAAGTGAAAATAACGCTCTGGAAAAACACGCGGAGCAAGAAGCTCAATGGTAAATTGTTTGATGCGCAAGGGTTGAACATACTAAATTACAACCTTGGCACACTCCCGGCCCCAAAGGGGCCCGCCAACCCAACCCATGCCCTGGAGTCACGCGGGAAAATACCGAAAACATGCGACACAGTGCTTTGGGATAAAAAACAGCGCCCTGGCCACCTGTGCCGCTTCACGGCAGAGGTCCACTTAGCCGCCCGCGCTACTCATTTGTAATGACCATGCACGCCCCTTATGACGACACAATGCCCAATCTCCTCCACATCCCATCCCAAGGCCGCTGGATCCCTGGAGGACCGAGGCCTCCCCTCCGCGAATTTCTTCGCGCACCGTGTCGGCCCGAGCGGCCAGGGACCGCGCGCCTTTGCAGTGGACCGCTCCGCGGCGCCATCCGGCGCCCCCCCTCCGCCCGCTCTGGCTTCGGTCTCCAGGCTCCCCGCCACCGCTAAAACGCGCTGGTCGCACCCAGTTGATCGCATGGGCGCCGCTGGGACGGTGTCTTGCGACGCCACCGGGACGAATCGACCCTCAGAACTGACCCCCTTGAGTCAACAGACGGTCCACAACAGGCAGGGCGGCGCGCAAGCTTGCGATTTATTCAAGCCGCTCAGGCCCTCCGATTCGAAAGCGCCAACCGGCGCCGCTCTCCTCGCAGCGACGACGCCAGTGCCGCCCCCCTCCCCACTCCCCACCCCCGCCTTTCCGACGGGAAAAGGGCAAGCGAGATTGGAAAATCTCCTTTCTTGTGAATTCCGAACGCAAGCTCTCCACAAATGTATGCATATGTATGCAACGAAGACACTGACTCCCATCACTGCTGATCGCCACACATTCGATCCCCACGAGCGCCCCACTCACCCCAGCTCCAGTCCCGGCGTGCCCTCCACCTGCACCAGCGCCGCGTCGTTCCTGCTGTTCCCGAACAGCGTGAACCGCATCGCGGGGTACACCTGCAGCGCCTGCCACCGCCCAAGTGGCTGCGCCAGCTCACCGCCGTTCCTCCCTGGGTTGAAGTCGTTACCCGCACGCCGCTGGAATCTCGCGTCGTTCCACACGCAGTGGCCGGCGGTCAGGTAGTGGCATGGGCCCACCAGCGTGGCCGAGCAGCCCACCCCCAGCTGACCCACGGAGCTCAGCGGCTCCTCGGTCGACCGGTCGATCGGGACCCTCACCCGTCCGCCGGACGTGTCCGGCAGCCCCGGCTCCACGCCGAAGGATCTTCCCCCACCCAGCTGCAGCACGCCGCGCCCATTTCCGCCAGCTCCAACCCCTCTCTCCCTCATAATTCCCGGTTCTGGCATGGAATCTGCCATTGTCCCCCGTTCGTGGCGAAGGTGCCCCGCCAATCTTCGCCCTCCAGCTGGGGCCGGTCGCGGGATCGCCCCATCGGAGTCGTTGAGTCCGGCGCCGCCCCGCCGCACGCACACCGTGCCATCGGCTAGCACCGTCATCGCGTCGGCCTCGTTCGGCTCTCCCAGCCCGTTGGCCGCCCACAGCCCCCGCGCTGCCTGGTTCATCTCTCGATCTTTGCCGTCCGCGTCTTCCGCCGCGATCGGTCCGTCCTCCAGCGGGCTCCAGTCGATCCCCACGTGCCCCTCCTCGAAGCACTCGTACCCTCGGGCCCGCATCCGCGCCTTGCACTTCCCTATGGCGCCGCCCAAGTCCGCATCGCATCGCGGGGCTGTGATGCCCAAAAGGCACAGCAAGCACAGCAGGCCCGTGCGCCTGGGACTCATGGCCCCTCCCTTGGGCGCCCACGGGCGGTCCGGAGTCGAAAGCTCCGCTTGGTTTCCGGTAGCAAGAGCCACCGCTTGGCGGTCGGCAGGTTCTGACTTGTAGCAGGAGCCAAACCGGAAGTTGTTGCCGCTGTGCTGTGTTTGGCATGTGCTCGTGTCATGCCAGTGGCTTATCAGCGTCGTGCCAAGGCGCGTACCATGACGGCCATCACGGTCGTCAAGTCACATCAGATTTGTGTGCCTTGTTCGGGGCAGCTTCGTGGGGGGTGGGCTTGTGGGGTCAACCTGGCAAGGTGGGAACGACTTGTGAGGGCAGGCAGTGGGGCAATCTCCGATGGTCATGACAGTTCGTGACGAGGTTGCCCCGGTGCGTTCCATCATCATGTGGCATCGTCGTTGGTTGCGAGATGGACTGTGGTGAGTTGTCCGATGCCGCGTCGATGGGCCTGGAGTAGGCGAGTTGTTGGGTGGGGCGCACAGAGGAGGACAAGTTGTGTGGCCGGTTTGGGCATCCTGTTGGTGCCGTACTTCGCATTGCTGAATTGTGGTCTCTTGGTGGTTGGTGTACACACGACAGCAAGCCAAACCAAAGCAAGAAACGGTGGTTTCAAAAAAGAAACTGTGGCGTGAATATTTGTTTGTGTTGGTGTGTTCATTTAGGGTAGACACTATTTTGGTTGTTGCTCACATAGCGTCAAATTGTCGTTCGAGGGGTGGGGGTGGGGTGGGGGGCAGCCGCTGGCGCTAAAGATTTTATTGTTTCACTAAAGTCAAAAGAAGGTGAGAAGTTGGACAGAAACGCTGCGGATCAGCGGCAAGTTGCACATGACTTGTTGCACAACCTCCCTCAGACTTTCAGTCATTGAGATAATCCTTAGACTGGATCTTTCAGCTGGCCTTTGAGCTGCTCCCATTGCCTAATATGGCTTTTGGCATCCCATTTTCAAATCACCGCAATCGCTACAATTTTGGCTGTTTTTCCTTAAAATTGTTTTGAAGTTGTATGGCATTGTTGGGTAATGTTGTTGAGTCATGTTGGCATCGAAACAAGGATTGACACTAAGGAGGGGGCTGAGCTTAACGTCACATTGATGCCAAGCGTACAAAATTCAAATAGTGTCTTCCCGTAGGGAACACTGTGCTTGGAAAATTCGCACCATGCTGAATCGAATGGCGGTCTGTAATTGTGCAGAAGTCTGCGCTTGTTCCTCGGTGGTGTGACTGAAGGGCGAACGGTCGTTGACCAGCTCCACACCAGAAGTCACCCAGAGGTCTCCTGGGATGTGCACTCCTGGAGTGCAAGGACCATCTAGTTAAGGGATGCGATGGGTGCACACTAAACCCATCATTCGTTGCAGTTACCCAATCAACGGGGCATAACCGTTGCAACTGTGTAGGTCCATCTGCAACATGGTGTTGACAAGCTCACTTTGTGACCTGAGAGTCATTTCGCGAGTGAAACAGCATTGAAGTGCTGCAACACGGAAATGCTGAAGCACCTTCAGTCGGAAGCTGTTCACTACCCAAGAATAATCTCCCTGTCATCACACCAGCAAGATGGACAGCGAAATATTGACATGGTAGGCAGATGTTCCATACACAACTAGGGTAAATTTGCCTACTCTGATCGACGGCTTGGACCATGAGAAGTCACATTCAAGGTTGAAAGCCTGTCATTTGCTCGTAAATCCCAACTCTGGCAAGTCCACCGAATGCTGGTAGACAACAGCACAGGCTGTACAGAGGCACCCTGCTGTTGACAGCTTTCCAGGAAAGCCAAAACTACCTTATTGGTAAAGAATGGCAAAGTCTGCAGGCAATCCCCATTTCTAGCTACTGGCCCTGTTTTCGCAACTCCAGAGCAACTGTTGAATCAAATTCAGCTCCCCCTCCCCCTCCCCTCCCCCTTGTGAATGAATTGAGAAAAGATTGTCCAATTCGACCCAGTCGAAATGGGTCCAACCCAGAGCCGCCTTCTGGTGCTCTGATCCACTGTACAGCACTGCAGACCCCCTCTTAGGTCGGGACGCACACCATGTCTTCCATAGCATTCTGCAACTCCCTCAGGATGCTCCCTGTCAGGTGCAGGGCGCCTGGCTCTTGGAGCAGCTGGTTAGTGTCCTCCGTGACGCCAATCCTCCGGCCGCTGTGCACTGCGACGATCGTTCGTTCATCTTCTCTCTCCCCATCCCCAGGGGAATATGTCCACAAGGCTGAGCCAGAGCTTCCGCTGGTAGTCTCACAATCGTGGATGACTAATCCTCTGTTCTCCCCATCTCTGGGGATGACGGCATCGCAGAAGTCGAACCACATCTCCCCGTCAGGCTTGTCGACCGGGTAGCCCGCGTTGTTCAGGCCCACAGCAGCAGGCAAGTTTTCACCAGTGAACTTGAACATCCTGAAAAGCGATCGAGATATCAGTTTGATGCCACAGTGACTGCTCATGGCAGCACAGAGCATGGCAAAGGACAAGGCATTTTCGCCGTGTCTGTGTTGATGTGTTCAAGGCCAATTGGTGTCATCAGCAGGTCAGTCAGTTTGCAGCATTCGTTTTTGCTACCCAAAGTGTGCCGCCCCATGTAGTTACATGGGCGGTTGCATCTGCACTGCCAACACCACTGCCAAACGGTAAAAAAAGTAAACACTGACTGCCTCTGTAGTGACTGGTGCGACGAATGGCCTCCTGTGAACTGCTTCCCATTCGTGTGGCTGAGGCACGCTCTTGACTGCAGATGACAGCAATGACTTGTAGCATGTGGCAGTATTTCCTGTATTGGCAGCCGTGTGTTCTTGTGGCTCTGTGGATGAGTATCTTTAGATCAAAGTGACATCTGCAGGGCAAAACCTCACAAATCAACAGGTATGATGGGCAAATGGAGATCCAAATGGACTGCGTGTCCTTTTGCTGCACCCGAGCTTGGCCCATGGGTCCCGTGGACCACTCCTGGAGTGAAAAGGGATGCAGTACATGACGCACAGGACGAGGTCCAATGCAAGGAACCAGAATGCATGGATGCCAGTGGTACAGCAAGGTTCCAGAAACACATAGGGTACCAAAGTATGGTGCTGCGCCAGAGCACACTGAAACTGCAGGAATTGTGATGGGAAAAGAGGAGGAAACAATCCTGTTGGTGGATTCAGGCACATGCACTTTGTGTGCTTACAAGTAATTACAACACACACAGTACACAAGTACACACAAGCACCTGCACGATCGGGTACAGACCGGGATGCTTGTCTTCAATGTACTCGTGATCATTTGGCCAGGAGCTGTGATGTGCTCGTAGACCACCAGGAAAAACACTGTTTAAGTATTCTTGTTGCATGCAATTCACAGTCATTTCTTCAGTGCACTGCTTCAGAACATGAAATCTGGGCCTACTCCCACTGAAAGCAGCGCATGGCAATTGGTTCCAACGAAGACATTAACTTTTTCAACACAACTGATTCATTCACATGGGTTTTACATGTCCAACAACCAGCTCAAGGAGGACCGGAAATGGGAGCAAAAATTCAGCCAATGGAACATACTGCCATGCTGCCAGGCGGCTGGTATGCCCCATGAGCTCAGCAAAGACAGACGCAAGAAAAAGCACAAAGACGTGAGCTCTCACCCCAGCTCGTCTCCTGGGGTCCCCTGAACTTGCACGATGGCCACATCGGCAGAGGAGTTCTCAAACAGTGTCCACTTGATGGCAGGGTACACCTGCAGCGCTTGGAACTGGCCCAGCGGCTGTGGCAGCTCCTCGCCATTGCGCCCCGGATTGAAGTTTGCCCCGGAAGTCACCATCCCGATCTCCGACTCCCACACGCAGTGGCCGGCAGTCAGGTAATGGCAGGGGCCCACCAGTGCGCCGGAGCAGAACCTGCCCACCTGGTCACAGGCAGGAAAAACTTAGAAAATGAGAAGAGAAACCCTTTCTGACCCTTTCTGAGAAAGGAGAAGCCCTTTCTTCCTTGCCATTCAGCAAGACGTTTCGAATGCAGGGTGCTGCAAGAGGTTTTTCATCTTTGCCGTTTTCACTCTCTACCGTTTCTTCACCTGATTTTTTGCTACCGTTTAATGAAACATTTCGAGTGCTGGGTGTCTGCAGGAGTCTGCAAGTACACATGGAGAATCGCGAACAGGCGAATCCGATCCAACCGTCCGCCACAGAAAGAAGCGACCTGTCCTGGCGCCGCGCGCATCAGCTCCAGGCAGGCCACCCGATAGGTTTGTAGTCCGCGCGGATCCCCGACTCTGCAACCCACACGGACAAGCGACACAGAACCCCGCCCTCCCTGCAACCGCCCACCTGCCCAATGGCGCTGAAGGGCTTCTCCGTGGAGCTCTCGAGGGGCACGCGCGTCCTCCCCCTCCTCGTGGACGGCAGGCCCGGCTCCTCCGCAAACGCCCCACTCCCCGCCTGCATCACTTTGCGCCGCTGGCCGCCCTCCCCCCCTAACGCCTCCTCTCCCACCAATCCCTCATTCGAAGGGAATGTGAGGGATTTCCCCGCCACTCCCCCCGCCAGCCTTCGACCCCCCAGCCATGTTTGGTTTTCTTTCGTATCATCGCTGCCGAATTCGTAGCCTTCTTTCCACCTCAGGCACACCGTGCCGTCCATCAGGACCGTCATCGCGTCCACGTCCTCCGGGGAGCCCCACCCCTTTTCGCGCCACAAGGCCCGTCCCCTGGGGCCCATGGCGCCCCTCTCGCCGCCCCCGGTGCCCGCACCTTCGACAGGCCACTCTCCCACCTCCGCCGGCGACGGCATGTCGCAATGGTAACCTCTGGCTGTCATGAAATCTTTCACCCTTTCGAGGTCGGCATCCAGGCTGCCGCGACAGCACAGGGTGCCCAGGAACAGCACGCACAGCGCCAATCCCGTCCTCAGGCCCATTACGGGCGCACTCTTTGAGGGGCAAGCCTCTCGAAGTGCGGGCCGCAGGCGCCGGTTAACCCGTTGCTGAAGTGAGGATGACAAAGAGGACGTCAGGTTTGGGATCGGACCGAGCGCATCTGATAGGATGTCCGGCTGCTCTGCCAAGTCCCTCGGGCGGGGGCAACGAAGAGGGCAGTCCAGGCCCTTGAGTACCCTTCCACCAACCGCCCGATCGAATCGGAGGCGACTGGCCTGCTCGACTAAATTCGCGAGCTTGCGCCCCGCCCTGCGCCCTCCGCGCCGTCCGTTCACTCAAGGGTCAGTTCCGTGGGTCAGTTTGTCACCGGCTGCGTCGCGGCAGACTGTGCTGGTGGCGCTTGGGAGGTTTGGGAGGATGCTGTGAGCCAGAGGCGTGCACGGTCGCTGCCGCTGTGCCTGTGGCCAGTTCGGGTAAGGGGCCCCTGGTGCGAATTCGACGGGAGTTCGGGGCGCCCCCCTGTCTACGTGGGTGGCTTCTTGGCGTGTTCCGAGCGGTTGCCAGGGACATGGTGGCTTTTGGCTGGGGATCCCACTACGTAAGGATTGGATGTGGTTGACGGGCAGGAGAGCGGCCTGGCGGTAGAGCGGGTGGAGGCAGACGGAAGACAACATGCGTGAAAGGTGTGCTGTATTGCACTTATGGCACCCTATAGCGTAGTACCGTATTTACCCGGTATTAGTAGGCACCCCCTATTAGTATCCACCCCCCTCTTTGGGGGTCGAACCCACGTTAGTATCCATGACCCGGTGTTAGTATCCACCCCCAAACCTCAATAGAGCAAAAACGATGGAAGCCGCGGATGGTGGCAAGGGAAGTTGGGGGCTGGTGTTGGAACTCGTTGCCCAGTCTGGACCAAACCGCGTTCCCTGCGATTCGCACATCAACGGGGACGATCGGGTCGGGGCGGTTGTTGTCGAGGGAGAATTTGGAGGGGTTCCCGCGAAAAGCCGCGCGGTCGACTGGCCGCCGTTGGCGTTCTCAGTGCAGGGTCGCAAGGCAGCGACCGACGCCGCAAGGCACGATGATAGAAGCGGTCGAGAATTCAAAGCCGCCCTAGTTTCTGGGTTGAGCCAACCTGCTCCCCGGCCGGCCAGAGCAGGTTCCGGCCTGGCGCTTGGCACGGGTCCCCCAATGCCCAGCGCCAGGAATGGGCAGGCGACGGCATAGGTCGGGGCAACTGCCGTTGCGACACCCCGCCTTGCAAAACTGGCCGTAAAATGCTGCGAAGGTGGGGCAAAACACATCTCACTGGCTACCAGGCCACAGACCCAAACACAGATCCCATCAGCTTTCCCAGCCGCCATCAGCGAGGGAAAACGCCGCGTGTCGAGCATCGTCGCGACGTGGTGCCCCAGCGAGTCGAGACCCATGTCAGGTCTTGTTCTTTGCACTGCAGAGGCAAATGCGCCTGGAGCATTCCAGCGAACACCTGACAGCCCCAATCGCTAGTCGCCACCAGCTAGTGCAGCCCCAAGTCAAGGCCGCCAGTTCCTGTGAAGAGGCTGATAACATTCCGCACTAGCATCGCCATTTTTGTCCATTTTTGGGTATTTCACGGCCTATTGTCAAAAATTTTCTTTGTCTACTCTTTGGAATCAGGGGTCCAAACCGCGTTAATATACATGACCCGCTATTAGTATCCACAGCTCTTTTTGGGGGTCCAATACATGCCTACTAATACCGGGTAAATACGGTATATTAAACCCTTCCGCATCGGTCCCTCCCGACCGTCACGTTTTTGCTCCGCATTTTCGTCCCGGACCGTTACGTTATTTCCTTTTTTGCTTCGCATCGTGTCGTGCGGGCTCCGAGGGGGCTCTAGAGACTGTATCCCAAGTTTCAGGTGCAACGGACCAGTCCCAAGCCTCGTACGTACGTGCACCGTGCGACACCAACCACCCAGCCCCGCGAGAAGCTGGTCCGCGAAGCCGGGCCCCTTGCCGCGAACTTGTGCTGAATACCCCCTCGCCCCCGCCCCCCCCCCGCCCGGCCGTTGTTCAAGGCGCACGCGCCCGCCGACCGCCCCCACTCCCCGCCGGTGCCATTTCGTGTTGGCACCTTCGCCGTCGGCGCCCACGCTCCCCTGCGATCGCTTCCCAACGTTCTAGGTCCAAACCTCCTGGATGGCAAGCGGCGGGCGCCTGCTTGCCTGCCGATCGATCGCCCACGCTCCCCTGCGATCGCTTCCCAAGGTTCGAAGCCAGAGCCGCCCGGATGGCAAGCGGCGGGCGCCTGCCTGCCGATCGATCGATCGCCCACGCTCCCCTGCGATCGCTTCCCAAGGTTCGAGGACCGACCCGTCGGGTAGGCAAGCGGCGGGCGCCTGCCTGCCTGCCGATCGACCGCCCAGTGGCCTGCCATGTGCCGGGGCCAAGCCCGTTCCGAAGCCGCGCCCAGGCCGTTACTAAATTCGGCTGCTCCGCATCTCGCACCGGTACCGTTACTTTTTTATTCATCGACTCCGCGAAAAAGGGCCAGCGTTACGTTACTATGCGGGAAGGGTTTGAAAAGCTACGGTACCCAATGTTTGCATGAAATTGGCTATCCAGCTAGCGGGGTTCCGCCAAAGGCGACGTTGGGTGGACACAAGGCAGAAACCGGCATTTGGCAATGCCATCAGTGATGCAATTTGACACTTATTGATCCCATTACAGCTACTCTTATGCCATAGCAATCACTCCGATGGTGCAACCCAGTGTCAAAATGGCATCACAGTAACGGTGTTTCTTGCTATACCCAATGGCTTGAATCGGCAGCTCAATTTGAATGGCCATTTCACATCCTGCCCTTTGGTTTCCGTTCACCAATCTTAGTATATTCAAGCTTTCCGCTTCGGCACATAACGCTAGGCCTTTAGGTGCGGAGCAATTTGAAAACCGTAACGTGTTTGATGGAAGCTGCTAGAATACAACACCCTGACCGGCTTTGAACGCGTCCTGTTGCGCAGCCACCCACGAGAGCATTTGCGCGTTATTCCTGCATCGCTTCAATGTAGCGTGTCTTGTTTTGCTTGCATGCTTTGCTTGCAAAAGAATGCGTGCGAGAAACTTAAGCCACGTTTCAGATGCAACCAATCATCTTGCAAGATCATCGGTCAGCAATTGCTCACTGCTTGCACTGCCTGCGGCGCACAAGAACGCGACGGGCGACGTTCCTATTGCAACCACGCGGCCGGGCGGCTGAGCGAGCTGGCCTCCAGAGCTGCGACGCCATGGGCGCGTTCTAGTAGGTGCCCGTCATTCAGTCCAATCGGGGCCGCCGTTGCAGCTGTCCCTTCCGCGGATGGCCATATAGATGCCCTGTACCTATGGACTGGCTGTATTTGTACAGGCAAACACCCGCTGTGCACAGCGCGGATACAGGCCTGTGTGATACAGGCCACATGTGGCCTGTCCCCTCTGGTTGCGCAGCGCAATGGACACGCACGCGCTGTACCTCGACATCACCCGTGCAATAGCACAAAACAGGCGGAAATATACGGTTCTGAAAATTGTGTCGCGTGTAACACGATTGAAAATCATGTGAAAAGCGTGTTAAAACGTGTATTCATCGTTTGACAATAGGACCAAATGGAACCATGGGACCATCTAATAACGATTGAGAGAGTGTAGATGAATTTTACACGTTTTGACGGGGTTTTGCACTGTTCGAAACTGTGTATTTGGGCAGATTTTTTATTTTCAATGGCCGCCAGGAGACCCCTCTTCCTCCCCGGCTTGGGCCCCGCGGCACAGGCGCAATCGGTGTCGGTGGGCTGGTCAGGTCCATGCAAAACTTGGACGTCGGATTGCTCCGTCCATCTTGCGGGTCGCACAGCTCTAAAAACACCGATACAGGCGGAGCAAAAAACGCAGCGCTGAAATTTCGGAATTCAGAAGTGTTGAATGCACTACGGTAGTACATTGGGTCAGCCATGGCCGCTGGACACAGTGCGGGGTGCAACACTCTAAAAATACCGATCTACGCGGAGCAGAAATCATGACGCTGAAATTTCAAATGCAGAAGGGTTGAATGCACTGCAGTATACTGTATGAGGTATAATATGCTACTGCTCAGGCTTGGTTTTTACGCCGTAAAAACTGATCGTATTGACGTTTTTACGCGTAAAAATAGTTATTACGTTCTTGCACGTAAAACTGCGTTAAAACACGTAAATATAACGTAAAAACTGCCCTATGTACGTAAGGACAGTACATACAGACTTACGGAGTCCGGAGAGTGGGAGCCAGATGCCCTGGGAGGGGCAGAAAACGAGTTTTTGTTAAACGCCATTATCGTCCTTGCCAAGGGCGAGGTGGGCATTGTGTTGCGGGTGCTGGAGATGGTGGAGGAATGATCATTGTACGCAACTTTCATGGTGTAACCTGGTGTCCAAAGGAGCCGCAAACACGTAAAAATAACCGTAAAAATAGGCCCTTTTGCAAATTTGCGTTTTTACACGTAAAAACGAAAAAGTAAAAACGTAAAAGTAAACGTAAAAACCAACCCTGATACTGGTAGTACTTGGGGTCTGTCAAGGTCACGGCGGTCAAAGGGGTCGACAGGGAGTCTGGGGCCCCTGGATTCAAGGCTTGGAGATGTTACCCGGGTTGGGGGACGTCCCCCAACGACGCTGAGTGAATGCAATTCACGCTCGGACGTCGGTCTTCACTCTACCCTGTTTCGCACCCTCCCTGCCCATCCGGAGGGAGTGAGTTTCGGTTACTCGCGACATGCTGAGGGGGTGAAGTGCAGGATTAGGAGCTGACTTAGGTTGATTCAAGTATTGGAAAACGCACTGTACTGAAAAGCGGATGAGCACAAGTTAGTGGAATCTTCGGGTTATTAACTGTGATGGACACCAGGTGAGTCTCGATGTGTAAAGTCTCTGTCATGTGTGATCATGCGAATGGGTCGAGAGGACCTGCAAGGCTGAAAACCATGCATCTGACACGTGTGTGCATGCATTAAGCGGCCAATGCACATTGTGCACAGTAAACGCACACTTGCATATATGGGATGAATGCAATGCACTGGCTTCACCGCTGTTCTGTCCTCCTCGTTTTACACAGGATCGTGATAGATGTCTCGTCAAAGTGCAGCTTCCAGCATCTGTGCTGCGATGTGCTTCCCAGCTGGCCCGTGGACCGGGCCCCAGTTTTCCCCACCCGTTCAATCATGGCGGATTCCCAATGCTTTGAACTCATTGATGCGTTCTGTCAAACAACTTTTATTTGGCACTGGTTCTGTGACGTCTAAAGCAGGCTTGTTATTCACGTTTAAATTCACGTTTTTTCTTTTACTTTTTATGCGTCAAAACGCAAATTTGCGGAAAGGGCTGTTTTTACGGCTGTACGTACGTTTTTATGGCTCGTTGTGACAAGCAGATCACACAATAAAAGTCGCGTACAATGATCAGTCCTCCCCCCCCTCGACCGCTAGCAACACAGCCTCGACTTCGTACTCACCAAGGGCCATGACGACATGGAACAAAGTTCGTTTTGTGCCCATTCCAGCACATCTGGCTTCCTATCCCCGGACTCCCGAAAGTTGTGTGTACTGTCCTTATGTACAAGGGGCTGTCTTTACGTTGTATTCAACGTATTTTTACGCGTTTTAACGCGTCAAGACGTAAATGCGATCTGTGTTTACGGCATAAATAACAAGCATTTAGACTCTAAAGCGCCACTGATGAGCAATCGTCAGAGAAAACTGAAAAGATTTATTGCCAATTTTTGTGAATTGTTTTAGTTCGCATCTGAGTGCTCGAGCGTGATGGCAAAAGTAAGTAGCACCCGATCGTGGCTTTGTATTCGAAGCCATATATGGCTTCGCCGACGTACATACTTCGCCGAGTATATACTTCGCCGAAGAACGTTCTTGGTGTTTCGCTGTCGCTCGCGTGAACTTGTGATAATTGACCCATCGTTCTGTCAAAATTATACACGCCTGTCATTTTCACAGTTCTGAAAGCGGATACCGTCAAACATGTCCAATTGACAAGGGAACTCTGTCCGGGGCAATGGACAGCAAGCAGCCATTACTGCTTGCATACCTTCTGCTGAGCTGTCTGGGAAAAACATTCCTAGGGCTCCCAAGCACGCTTGAAGTTGCGATTCAAAGGGCTGTTGAGCAGCTAATTGGTATTTGCAAACAGAGCATGGTCAGAGGACTGGACTGGCCAGCCAGCTGCATTGCACCACATAGTTTCATTGCTCCAAGGGGTTGAAATGTAGTCGTATACATAGCTTGAATGGCACATTACGTTATTGCAATATGGACAAAATCATATGTAGTGGCACGTCAACCTACTGGATACTACTGCCAGCGCGCAGATATCACTGGTAAAAAAAACGGTGTACAATCGTGTGAAATCGTGTTAAAATCGTGTAAAAATTGAGCACTTTGAGGGGCGATTTTACACGATTGCTAAAATCGTGTAGTTTTCAGCCCCGTGTACTACACGAAAGTGGCCCACCTTACGCCATGGGAAACGCGATAAAGAGCAAGGCTTTACACGATTTCCACCGTGTAACACCGGCAGCCGTGTACTTTGTGATCACCACACGATTGGTACACGATTTTGCACGATTTTGCACGATTTTTACACGCACAACACGGTACACGATTTGCAGGACAATGTACTTTGCCTGTTTTTTACCAGTGTACTGTAGAAGGCGTTTCTCTTGCTCTTGTGTGTGGGGGGTTCTGGGGTATTGGTGGCGGCTGCAACCATCATTAGAGGTGCGTTTTCGGAGGCATAGTTGGCATAGGCGGGCCTGGACATGCCCCTCACACGGATTCGTACGCTTCATGCATCGATGCCGTGACTTCATGTCGGTGCATCCGTGTGAGGAACAAACAAACAAACCACCAAAGCGAGCAAACCTTTCCTCTTATAGCTATGTCAGGTTGAAATGCCTGAGAACGTACACACAGCCTGACGGCGCGGCAGCCTCCACCGCCTCCACGGCGTTTATCTCCGGCCAGCAGCCTCCCCGTCCGGCGCCCGCATCGGACTGGAACAAGGACCCTGAACTGTCGTTGGCGCCGGCGTCATCAAGCGGTTAATTGACCATGACCCATCAACACACGAATCCACAACCACTAGGAAAAAACAGGCCAGATGACACAGTCCTGACACGGTCTGCTCAAAATCCAACTGTGTGCTTTCGGCAAATGTGGTCCCAAAAGTACACAGTTAGTACACACATTGACACAGTTTCAACCGTGTACCCTCAAACAACTGTGTAGACTACACAGTTTCCTAGGATGCACGGTTAAGACTGTGTCAATGTGTGTACTAACTGTGAACTTTTGGGACCACATTTGCCGAAAGTACACGGTTGGATTTTGAGTAAACCGTGTCAGGACTGTGTCATCTGGCCTGTTTTTTACTAGTGAACCCGACTCATCTTCCCTGTGCTGAAGCGCGGGAGGCAAAGTAGATGTCGGGACCGGGGATCGACCTGGGTGCCTCTGATGGCATATGCCCCACTGGTCTACCAAAACCGCCAGGCCACGGGGAAGGAAGAGGGTGGTCAGTCCCTTTTACTTGAGGGCAGGCTAATCCCTTCCAAGTACCACGCCACCCGTCACCCACCATGAAACTGTGCAATCATTCAGCATGAAATTGTACACAAACCAGGCAAGGAGGCAGCCTGTACTGCGCGTAACACCACAGTTGCCGTGCCAGCAGCCGGCCCCCTGTCCCTGGCCCCAGCCAGCGCTGTCAACTGGGTCAGCGCCGCTGGGCGCGGTCAACGCACCCCGCCCCACCCCCCGCGCCCATGGCCTCGCCATGCTGAGCGGGGGCTGGGCGCCGGGACGATTCTCCTGTCGCCGAATCCACATCGTCCGGCGAGCCCGGCTGGCCGCCGAGGCCCTCGCCGAGGCGTGCGCTGCAATGGGGAGCCTGCTCTTTTTGGTGGCCGGATTGGCGTCGCTTTTCGTGCTGGGATGCCAGGCGGGGGCCGGTTTGGAAGGGGGAGAGTACTTGGGAGCCTGCATTCGGAGGATGGAGGCGGTGGGGTGGGAATGTACAGGGGCGGTGGGAGTCGACGAGGGACCCGTTGGGGAGGTTGTGAGGTGGGAGGGGGAGGCGAGGCGCGGGGACTCGACGCCCACGGCGGCGATCGAGGCGGTGTGGGCGGCCAACGGTTGGGGACGGGTGGAGGAGGCGGCAGGGATGACCGTGCTGGTGGACGGGACGGCGTGCTTGCGGCGCAACTGGACAATCGCGTCGATTGACCGTTCGGCGGAAGTGGCGGTTGGCAAAGGGCCGGAGCGCCATGCCGGTCGCAAACTAGCGGGGTTGGGAGATGCGGGCGCCGGTCGGCGGTCGCTGAGAATGCGGGGCAGGGGCAAAGGAGAGGGTGAAGATAAGGGGGACCTTGAAGCGGAGATTGTCGTCCCCAGCGGGGAGGAGCAGGTCCGGGTGCCCGTGAACGAGTCATCGGAGCGGTTCCCCTTCACCGCCGTGGGCATGCTGGACAACGGCTGCTCCGGCGTGCTGGTGGGCCCCTGCCACTACCTGACCGCCGGGCACTGCGTGCTGGACCCCGGCGGGGGCAACCGGCGCTGGGGGCTGGACTTCTCGCCGGGCAAGAACGGGCGGAGCGCGCCGTTTGGGCGGCTGCGCGCGCTGCAGGCGTACGCGGCGGTCAAGTGGAGCCTGTTCGAGGACGACCTGGCGGACGCGGCGGTCGTGCAAGTGGAGGGCCGGCCAGGGGAGGCCATCGGGTGAGCCTGGGGCGCTTCGCGTCCACATGGGCCCAAAGTACTGGGAGTGGTCCCCAAAGCACCGAAGGCGGTGGCTCCCAATGTACGACGTCGGCTCCCAATGTACTGGGGGGAGGCGCTCTTCGTCTCCGTGGGACCCACAGGACTGAGGGACAAAGTACTGAGGAAAAGGGGAGGGAGTAGAAGGGAAATGGGCGTGGGAGATATTGTCACCACGATGTGACGGAGGCGCGGCGTGATGAGACCCTTGATGGGGCACGCAGGACAAGCCGTTGAGGCGCGGCGTGACAGCACGACGCGGAAGCGATGCGGCGCATCCTAGACGGCGATCCGTCATCCAGTTTAGGTCATTTAGTGGCCCAGTCCCAAGATTCGTGGATAGTTGTCGCTGCGCAGCCAGAAAGGTCACTGCCCCTTCAACAGTGCCGCCGCTTTCGGACGAAAGGCGTCGGCGCACCTTCAGAGACCCGTTGAGGGGCGCGTCTTTTTCTTGTGAATGCTCGAAAGTATGTCCAGGCTAAGTGGATGCACGTCGAGCCAACGCACACTTTTCTGTCGGTGTGAATTCAATTTAGCACTCAATTATGTCCCAGCCCACTACCATGCATGGACACTTCTTCTGTTGCCTTATCGTTGACGGCATACATTGGAATGCGACATTTTTTTTTCAGCGTTGGTTGATTCTGTCTGATAAAAGTCACAAATCTTGAGTTTTCATGGAATCATGCAGTGGCACTGTTTTGCTTGGCGTGCTGAGCCTTGCACATCGAACAGACGTTGGTTGCATGTTTCCCCATGTAGTGTTCTATTATTCTTGGTTTCTGGGCACCTGCACTCCACAGAACTTCACCACTTCCCTTCTGTAAAGAATGGAGGCCATGGCTCACCCGGGCGCACAAGCTGCTAGGGTCAATCGGGCACACACAAACAACATCCCTCCTGTGAACACAGCCACCTGCAATGAAAATTGCGCCATCACTTTCATAGCCTGCACATCCCTTGGCAGTCTGCAACGTTTACTGAAAAGCTGCACACAATGCCTTGCAGGTACATGGAAATCGGTGACGGGGACCTCCCCAAGGGGGCCAGCCTCAACCTGGCAGGCTACCCGAGCGACAAGCCCAACGGTGAGATGTGGTACGACTTTTGTGACAAAGTGGAAATCCCCCCAAACCCCCAGCAGTTTGTCTTCCACAACTGCAAGACCTACAATGGCAACTCGGGGTCGCCCATGTGGTCCTATTCCCCTGGCGAGGGGGGTCCAGGGCCGTTGAGGCAGGTGCCAGTGGTGCACACTGGGTTGCAGGCTGTCGTGCTGGTCCCCATCGGACAGAACGCCACCAGCTTGAACTTGGATGACGTGGATGTGCTCAGCAAACGGGCCAGGGGCACGTTCCTGATGGGCAGCCTGCTGCGGGAGCTGAGGAGCGTGATGGAGGACATGGTGTGTGAGGAGCGGTAGCCCACAGGGAGGGCGAAACTATGCTTTGATTGTGTTATTCTTGAGAGATGGCATTACACTGCTCTGAATTCTGTTGCTTTCTGGCGTCTGGGCCCACTTGGAGGGCAGCTGCTTGAGCTTCAGTTTGAGAAGGATGGAATTTTGTCCTGATTGCCCTCAGTCCTCTGTGGCAAGATGCTGCCTTCGAACCTTGAAGGCAGTGATGGGCGGCAAGAGGGTTGCCCCACACATTGAGCACATGGACAAGAGGTTGAAGTCCATCGCTTGTGCGTGGAGATGGGGTTGTATGGCAGATGTACGTAGACCCAATCTTGTGTGCCTGCATAGAAAATGTGGTTACTGGACCACAGGCACATCATGCACATGGTTTGGCTTGGAGGTTATCGAATTGATCCCCACTGGTCCAGTAATTGAAATGGTTGTGGAAGCAGGAGCATGTGATGGATGCTGGCCAGTTGAGCTGTTGCACAATATGCACACTTTATACCGATTTGGTTTGTGACAAGGCTGTTTCAGCAGCAGCTTTGCACGTACACAGAGGCAGTTTGCGTTTTGGAAAGGATGGTGGGACACAGCCATGCTTCCAGGCATTGTTGCTGTTAGGGCGGCACTGCACAGATGCATGCAGTGTTCACCATGCATCACATTCTGGTGCTCTGTAAAAGGATGAGCGGGGCATGTCCATCCCATGCGCTCAGGCTGGGGCGGGCTGAGTCCAAGAATGGAGAAAGGGATGCAAATATGGTTGAGTGGATGGTATGGTCTGGGAATTCGTCATTGAATATCCACAGGGGGACATCTGCCCCCACAGGGGAGGAGTGGGTGGGTGGGGTTAGTTTGCATCGCCCCATCTGCCAAAGCTACCATGAGCGTATGTGTTGGCAACAGGCGATGGAGCTTGGCCGGGAGTTGCAACTACGGGAGTGGATGTGCCAGGATTTCGAAAATGTGATGGTGGTAGTGCGCAGGGGAGGGGGGCGTTTGTTGTGGGGGAAATGCATGGTTGCCCATGAACGTTGCATTTGTGGGGACTTGGCGAAATGAATTCTTGTGACTGTGGGTCATTTGAACGCCCTACATGGACACTTTTTGCCTGCACGGATGGCCGCCAAGGCTACGTCCTGCCACAACGCTTTTGGAATCTCTGCCGGGGCTTAGTTTACTGATAGCTTACGTCGCTGAAGCTTAGATATTTCACTGGGATGCGCGTTGGGCCAGTAGACACAACATATACAGGCTGGCATTTGGGCGCGATTGGGAGCTTGCATACTCAATCATCCACCGTTTAGGCATCTGAACTGATTCACGGCAAAGTCGTGTGTTGAGAGGAGACATTGGAATGAATACTGTTTTAGCTGGGGCATTCCTTTTTATTGCGCCGCCATTGCTGGGGCAATGGCAATTTGTTGGTAGCTTCCATCGTAGACAGTGACTCCTGCACCGGTGTGACAGTTTTGTTTCTTTTCGTGCTTTCCCTTTTAATTGGTGTTTGTCAAAGTAACCACGCACAGCTCAGTGTCACCATGAAGCCCAGCATGGGGCTCAACTGCTGCACTTTTACCTGTGCAGCGTGATGAGCACTTGGCTCTCTCCTTGCACTCCCCAGGCACTCTGCATGCACACCGGTCCACATATGATGTAGCAGGCATCAGCGATTCAGATACAATTTTCCGCTACTAGGGAACTCAATATGTCGATTATGCTACCCTCTCAACATGGAATTGACGTCATGTTCAGATCCCTTCTTCCTCTTCGTGTCAGTTCTCATGTCGATGCCAACAAGACTCAGCAAAATCATGCAATAGTGGACAGCAGCATTCAACACACAGCAGGAAAAGTCACGTCCGCAATATCTACGCAGCGATGCAGTCGCATATGCTTCCCAATGGAGATGCTGACCGCTTAACCAACCGAGGCAGTCAGCAATGCGACTAAGGTGAGAGGCACAGCCATGTGGTGCCTGCTGGCGCCTGCTGGTGCTTGCTTGTGTATGTGTGTTTGGTGCTTACAGCCTTGGTAGTGCTTCTCTATACCACATCGATTTCAGTGGCCTTGGAAAACCCCACGAGTTGATGCAATGGCCTGCTGGTGTTAAACGAGCGCCAACCGTTCGACGTTCCTCAGTGGTGCCGCTCTACCAGGCAACAGCCAATGGCCGTGCGTACATGGTGTGCACTGTGCCCACCACGTTTCTCGTGCGTTCTAGCCACACTGACACCTTGACAACACCAAAGACTTCCAACAGCACCGTTGCAGCTACAACGACACGCATTCGACGTGATGCCAGCTCCTTCCTCCATGTTTCATCACCTCCAGGCGACCCGAACTTTCCTCGGCACTTCTTACGGAAGTGCGGCGTAGGCATGCATGCACCAAACCGCAAGCCGCGTTGAGTCCCCAGATGCTACCTAATTCTAGTTTTAATAACTTCATATAATCAACAGGTACGCAGGTACGCCTCCCCGGGGCGCATGATGGATCCCACAGCATTGTGCCACCTGAAGTGGGCCACCGTATCCATCAACTGAGCTCCCCCAATGCAATGTCCTGAAGCTGTAGATCTGTGTGACAGCTCACTGGCCAGCCATCTGCGCAGCAGCCTACCAAGTCGTGCTGGCCAAAGCAGACGTCTACTTCGCCCCCACGCCGCCGGCTTGAGAGCAGCTCCATGCCATCGTCCAGCGACACCACGAACACCAACCAGCAGTTGAGCAAACAACACAAAGTCATTGACACCTCATCCAGGCTACTGCCTTTGGGATCTCCCTTCTGTGATCTCAAAGTCTGCAGCTTGGGATGGGGAATCAATGAGAGTGTGCTGTTTGGGCGACCGTTCATGGCATCCTGGGTGTGGCCGGCAGCTTCACTGGATGACCCATTGTCAGTCAATGGAAGTCGTCGGGCTGGCAGGCTTGCACCAGAGAACCGAAACAACAAAAGGCTCGCTCAATGCGCTGTGCACACATGGCTGTCCGCACTCAGCTTGCAGGGCGGTTGCTCAAGCAACACCTGTTGCACAATGCACAAGAAAGTTAGTGCCCTTGCACTGTCCGCTCGGCAGTCACAAAAGCTACCAAGAACACCACACACTCGAACTGGATGAATCCGCCGCATTATTGCTCAGAGTCCCCTGGCGCAAAGTGTCAGCCAACTGCAGCGAAATGGATCCCCAGCGAAATGGATCCCCACGTTTGCTCAGTTCCGCACCTGGAATCCTTCAGGTCGCACACGGCCATGGGTCACCAGCACCCACGGACAACGCTCCATTCATCGACGACACTTATGTCCATGGCAGCCACAGGGCGGCATCCACGTGCTGCTTTTTCTGTCAGCCGTTCCATGCTCAAAACTTTGAACAAGTCTGGGGACCAGGCGGCGCTGCGCAAGGTCGCAGCTGTGTTTCTGCCGCCGTCCATGGCTGTTGCGCCTGCTGACGTAAGGCGGCTCATCTACTGAGGGAAAATCTTGGACAGGGCACCTGCAAAAGGGGTCAATTTGATGTCCAGCTCGGTGGCCAGGCGCTCAACGCGCATGGATATGTCCAGAGGGCTTCTGACGTTCCTGCACACACAACATCGCACAGACGTCGCATCAAATCCAGTCGCGGAGGTCGCGCTGCACATTCAAGGATGCTACCTTTCGGCACTGCAACTGCTGCAATTGGGTGCATATCCCAAGCCCGTACCTTTTGAACGACGAGCTGGGAACGCGAACAATGGTGTCGGTCCCCGTCCCTAGGTGGTTTGCCACCTGCATCATGCCAGCAACGTGCGCTCAGCTGCAGTTCAACAAAGTGGGCCGCTGCATATTAACTCATACGACTGGAGAAGCGCCCAAACATGAATGAGTGGAATCTTTGTCGAGCCATCGTCATCTGCAACAGACGTCAAACGAGTCGCGTGCCATTCACAGGCACGTCCATTTTCTATTGATTAACTTCATTACCCAATGATTGCTTACAGCGAGCCAAACCACCAGGTAGAACCAAACCACTGCACAAACGGATTCAATGGAATCAGCAGTTGGGCAAACATCAAGTCGACGCAGGACGTTAGAAATTTGGCACAATGTGCAGCATTGTGGGGTTGACGTCTCACTTCCATGGCCATGTCCACTCGGCTCATCCGCTGGGGCCCGCCCATGTTGAACAGTCGGTGGGAGACAGCGGCGCCTTTCGCCATCAGCTCATCGACGACGGCGACAATGTCATCCACAAATATCGGACATCGGAACTCGTCTTCTATGAAACTGGTTTCTTGCCCCGAGCGGAGTGACGACACCTGTGCATCAAGGGATAGAGTGCATTCCTCAGTCAACGATCAATGCCCCTTGAAGTAATTGTGAACTACTGGTTATTCCCAAACTGTGCGTGGAGCCTTCTCTGGAACCACTGCTACTATTACTACTAGTAGTTCTGCTGTTACTACGCTGTTCCTAGTCCTGCTACTGCCGCAAGGTCATGAGTACAACTACAACAACTCTTGCTTGACTAAGCTAACACCAACATCAAGTGCCATCGTGTCTCCACAAACATAGGATACGCTGCTTCAGTTGTTAGAACTTCTCAGGAGGCAATGTCGTGTGGCATGTATGTGATCTCCAAATACATGGGAAAATGGCCTCCTGAGCGCTCCTCCCAATCATTTTTGACAACGGATCCCACAGATACAGGGTAAGAGAAAGTGAATGACTATCCTTCAGAGTGCTAAGTCCATCAAGGACAGAAATGCAAGGCTGATACTGCTGGTGTGCAGGGGCTTGCACTCTGCTAGCAGGGATGGAGCGAATGAATGTATGCATTTCACCAACGTGAAATGATGCATTGGCCATGGCACATGACTCAATTTGAGGCAGCATGCTACCTTCTGGCAGTCTACAAACAGCTCATGATGCTTGACGAGAAAGAACAACGCCATGAGAACAACGGTAGAGACATGTGCAGGAAGACCGTGACAGAGCAAGCCATCGGTTGTTGTATGTGGTGGCCAAATAGGACCAGTATCTCTTCATAAGTTCTTCAACACTCACAATGAAGTCAAGCATGAGGGGCCGCGAAACAGGGACCAGCGGCTGTGGCCCATAGATGATGCTGCTCCTCAGGATCGCATGATTTGGCCACCGAGCCTGCCACCAATTGCATATAGAGATGGTTAACCCTCGAACAGAATTGGAATAGCTATTGCAACAGGGTTCTCCGTCATGGGCAAGATTCTACACACAAAGCTCCTACTACGGTTGGGGATGATGAAGAAGTTCCCAAGTCCCACAGCAACAACAAGTTCTTCAGCATGCAGTTTTAAGTGCGGTACATGTGGACCACGGGTACAATATGTACTTGGAAGCATACTTAGAAGCAGCACAGACTCGCACGTGCAGCAAACATGCACACCAACTGACAACCATCACTGCACTTCTACTTCGTCGCCTCACTTGTGTCATTGGTGTTTGGAAAATGCTGGCAATATGCATCAAACTAGAATCTGTCCACGAGTATTTCAGTGGAATTTAACAATCAGTGTTGGTAACTTATGGAATGGCTGAACTCACAACAACAATATATCTCTGCAGCAATACAGTTTCCACTCCAAGCTGTCCTCACATCAATGCGCACACTTTCTGATCATCTGAGATCAGCACCCATACCTTCAGGACTTGTGCACACAAGGACTTGTGCATAGTCTTGCCACTCTGCCCGTGAGCAGGTGTTCATTCATTTCAATGAACATGGCCCAAAGTACTGGTGGGCTTGTCCTATGCATGCTGGCTCAAACACTATGTGATGCCAGCCTTACCCAGTCATGGTAGCACACTAGGTCAAACGATTTGTGCAACAGTCGCCTTTTTTTCAGGATCCATTCGTTTGTTCTCTTCATGTCAGTGTAAAGCTGCACAACATAAAGGAAGCGCATGGCACAAAGGAGTTCACTGAATAGGAGGGCAGCCGTACATTACATACCTGCACAGCACTCTCAGCTTCCAATTTTGTCTTCCCATACACATTTACTGGTTGGCATGTGTCATCTTCACGCCACCATTCTTTGGATCCATCGTACACCTGGTCGGTCGAAATGTGAATCAAGAGAGGCTCTTGACCTGTGGCAGACCTGCACAGCAGTGGAATATCATCATTACTAAAGTAGATCTATCTGGAACATACAGACAAACTGGACCTGTGTTGAGTTCACTGGACTACATGCAATCAGGCACTGTGTTATATATTCTAAGCATTGCATACATTGCCTTGCTCACTGTTGTTATTCCCACATTTCTTCAATTCATGTCTCAACATCGTGAAGGCAAGCCATTGCGCCTCAAGTGTGGCAGAGGAATTGGAGCTGCATGTACTACCTCCAGCGACAGACTATCAGAGTCAGCGCCACTTCAGCTGTTCAAGGGCCCAAGCAACACTGTTGGTTACTTGTGATGCAAATACAACACCAGAGAACTCTTGACCATTGGTACCTGAGCTCCAGCAGAGCATCCAGCAGCTTCGTTGGAATGTTGATTGATCTGCATGGCACGCAGCTGAGCTGCTCAGTCCAACAGAAAACCTTAATCCTCAGCTGTGTCATTCATCAGATAATGCGGTAAAAGCACCGCACACAATTTTGTGGAAAAGTGGGTGCAAGGCTCAGTCCTTGGCGCAACGGCCATCCGCTTTTGTCTGAAAGGATGCAAAGTACTGGTTTTGCAACAGTCAGGCATTGGTCACGGCATCACACGTGGCCCCAACAACAGTGTTACTGTACGGCAGAACACAAAGGTACGACTGGACAGCTTCCACAGGCAGTACCAAACTCCAAGTTATGTGGGCACACAGGTACAAAACACCCTGGCAATAGTTGAGGGCACTGCACAAATTGACCTCTTTGGCATATTGATCAGTCGATGCAGTGAACCATGACCAGGTGTTGTGTCTCTCCATCCACAATGCAAGTGACGTCAGCTCAAAACAGATCTGCTGCACCACAGGCATCGTGACCTGCCCGTTAAGGCATCACTCCTTCGGAAAATTGACTACATGATGTGCAAAAACAAGATGCAGCCTGGTAACATTCCACAACTGCCATTTCGATTCGATTTCCTTTTCTGCAGTCTATTAACAGCAGAAGACACCAAGACGTCCAAAAGCCAATTATGCCAACACATACAACTTGCTGCCGGCTTGCATCAATCGCAATATATTCAACCTGTGAAAATGCGTCACAACTTTGTCCTTTCACCTGTTACAAAAATGAAGGGTGGTGATTAAAAGCACACAGTGTGCTTTTCAGTGCATGTTTGATCCTGTTCCCAGTAAACAGCCCAGTAAACAGCCCAAAGTGCTTCCAGCGAGTGGTACCTTGCACGTTCTGGGTCCTCCTCACATTCTCCAGGCTTTGAGATCGCGGCGCAGTTGACGATGCAAGCAAGATCCCCAAAGCTGGAAAGACACTCCTGAAGTCCCTCTCCTGTTGCCATGTCGACCTAACATGGGTTTGGACAAAGGAAACTCTCAGGTTAATCAGATCTCATATTAGTACAAAGATAAACCAATCAGAACATCAGACCGATTTCAGCCAGAGTGCTGGAATGGCTTCAGGAGCCCTCCCATTTTCAAGTCATGGTGAAATCAGATCGATTGAGAAAGAGAAATAAGAGTGGCTTGATTTTGCAGCTTGATTTTGCATGGGTTCTGATAAGATAAGAATGCCCTAACACCTGTCCGATTACGGCCCCATCTCAACAGGAAATTGAGGGACTAGCTGCTGGCAGGCCCCAGCGAACAACTACAACATGTGCAGGAGTGCAGCCGATGTACAAATTATCTGCATTGCGTGTCAAGGGCCCCTAGTTGACCCATGTTCTCTGTGCTGCTAGTGGCTGTGTCCACTCGTGTGCTCTGCCATCAGCACAAACAGGAAGTACCCCTGCAGGTAGCAGGGTGCCACAAACTGGGTTTCGGTATCCTTCCTACATCACATGTCCTGAGTGTGAGACCAGACAATGGGGGCATATCATGAAATGGGGCACCAGAAAATGGACTGGAGGCATGCCCTGCGTACCCTTTGCATTGGATTGACAGTCCTCTGTCAGGATCACTGACTTTTTCTTTTCGGTTTCACTATGCTGCATCATACTTAGGGTCCAGGGCGCCACAGATATTCCCAAATTTGATAAAATAGGATAGAAGATACCACTCCACCGTACCGGCATCGCCTTTCAGCACTTGCCACAAGAGGCCCACACAACAAAATCAACTTCAAGCACCTGTTCAACTACTATTTGACACAGTTCTCCTACTGTTACTTGGTACTTGTGTGCTATATTCATTTTACCCTGTTGTCCTTTGGTACCATTACTATTGCACAATTTCAGCAACTTAACATAGCTCAAAGGGTATATTATGCTGCAACAGGTGAAAGGGCAGTGAGCTGTCAAGCTCTGACAGACACAACAACTGAGCACACATACTCAGCAACTCCATGGTATGGTCATCTGCGTCTGCACTGCAGGAGAGGCGGCACATTGCAACACAACATTAAGTCATGCTGGGGTTCTTGATTCAAGTGCATCAAATAGAACAACTTGTGTGTAGACATGTCCAGCAACTCAGCTTTTGCCCACCCAGGTCCTTTGGGATGCTGCTGATGAGTTTATGGACCCTCTGTAGGCAATACCTGATTGCGATTGTTGATGTGCAGAGCATAACGCTGGGCAACCTAGTGACCCAACAAGGCTGGCCCACAGACAGCTGAAAGGCCAACTGCTGGCCCGAACGATCAATAAACAAGTGACTGGTTGGCAACACAAACATACCTTGAATGCCTTGACACCATCCAGCACATTCAGGGCTTCAGCAAGATGGGAGTTGTATGTGTACCCAACCTGAGGGGCGAAACAGACAACAAGCAAACATAAATAACAGGATTGCAATTGCAGAACAAAATGTGAGCACAACATTGCCATCCCGATGAGAATATTACACAACATGCCTGGAAGGTAAGGCACAACGACTGAAGTGCAAAGACACACACACACACACACACACAAATCGGTCACCACGATATTTACTTGGCTGCTGTTGCTGTTGGGTGGTGCATAAGCGTCACAAAGCACAAGAGGGCTCAACGACTTCTTGGCCGGTGGGAGAGCCGCAAAGTGCATGTCCTCTGGAATTCAAAGCACAACTTCACAGGCATAATGCAACTTCTACTTGTTCAGTGCAGAGTTTCGAACTTGAGAAGCGATTTGGACATCCGTCTGGATGCAGCTGGGTCATATAGCTTTCCCTTGTTGACAGTCTGAATAACATGAACATCGGAGGCACATGTTGGACAATGGTTAGTCGCCATTCAGCCATGCTCAGATCAATCACAATTCACATTCTGAGGAAGGCAAAATTCTGCTATTAGAGGGGTGGCCTGTGTACCCTCTGTTTCTTTTCTGTCCAACAGAGAATCTTCGCTCCAACCAGTCTGGACAATGTTATCAACTGCGACTCCACAACTGGCAGTGAGCTTGTTGTGCACAGACAGTGCATATGGCCCCTTTGTCTTCGACCTTGGAAAGACTCCAGGTCTGCTTGGGCAGCTGGCATCCACGCCCATTGTGATAAGGCAGGGTGTAAAGGTAATGAAGGCAATCGTTGAATAGTGACAAAAACAGCCCTTGCACTTGCAAAAGCGATGTTGGGCGTCAAGATGCACACAGAATGTCCAGTAGGTCCACACATGTGAGACGGTGTGGAACGTGGAGTTGCAAACAAATGGGACAAACACACATATGATGTGGATGCATTTGGATGCTATTGGATGCGCAAATGCCCTTCGTCACGGCCAACGTGTTCGGGTATTGTTTACCCCCTGCGGTGGAAAATGCAATCCACACGCACTGAGCGAGCCAAGGCCAATACCATGCCAATGAAAGGCTCCCATCGCGTGCTTGAGCTCCCGGTTCCGCCCATCTACAGAACGCTGGCGTGCGCACAGGCATCCGTTTGACGATCTGACGACAATAAGGCGGCCCATCTGCCGCTGCCCTGAACGGCGCCCCACAAAATTGGGCCCGGAGAAAGGGACCTGCGATGGCTGCTGAACCTCACATGCCCCTACCCACCCGCACAGGGGTCCTTTCAGGGGTCCCTATGCGCCCCTGCGCCTCAGCCGACCATCCCCCCAAACCGCCGTAACCCCCCCCCCTCCCCCGCTCCGAATGGCCGACCAGTTCGTTACCTTGCGCCGTTCGCTCAGCCTCGACACCAGAAACTGGCCAAGGTAGCCCGAGCCGCCTGTCACTAGGACCGACGCCATCGCTCACGGGAGTTTGGGCGGGACGCTGACCGGTGACGGCAGCGAACAAAGTGTCGGCTGCTCTGTTTTTCCCCTCCACCACCATGTACTCAAATGTAACATAGTAACTCAAATGATTCTCTCAGCGAGCCAAAACTGGATTAAAGCGGAAGCACAGTTTGCATTGGAATCCGCGGAACAAGCTTCTGTGCCTGCATCATCATCAAAATCCATCGATAACGTTTGTCAGACAATGACAAAACGCAGCCCGTGCAACGTGCCTATGATGTGTCTACACCAACTTTCAAGTGACAGGCTCCAATCGCCAGAGCGGACCCTGATTCGGCAAGTTCTTTCGGCAGCATATGCCCTGATTCGGACAACGTCTGGCAAGATAACCACCAGCTGGCGTCAATTCAGGTACACCAGGAGGGACGACCTGCCGCCTTTGGATTCCAGTTCCCGACAGTTGCGAGTGGTACGTCACCATCATTTTGTACAGAGCAAGGCAACGAGGTACACGCCAGCTACCTATTTTGCCCGAGCAAAGCAGTTTCTATGACGAGTTCATTGAAATCTAAGGCAAACACGAATGAAGATTATGAATTCATTTACCCCTAGTGCCAAGAAGCGATCGTGAGTGATACAACTCGAGTGTCGAGTAGTACAACAGCATGGCGGGTGCCAATTGCCACTACGCACTCTACAAATCTGATACATCGCCTCGCGGATGACAGTGCACCATTCAGTGCGGTGCATGGTACCAATGGCGACTTGCCATTGTCCTTTTGTTCACATATTAACGTGCTGACACGCACTCCAACCCGCCACCGCATGAGTTTGATATGGGCTGTGATATCACAGTGGAACCTAGGCTTGTTACTTGCGTTTGCAACTCCATTTTTGCTTTTACGTTTTTACGCGCAAAAATGAGTCAATACAGAAACGGCCATTTTCACGGCCATATTTGCGCATGCTTACGACTCATCGACACGTCCAATTTACATGACGATGTCCCAATCAACGATCGATCCTCCACTCTCTCCAGCACCGGCAACGCCGCGTGCACCTCGCCCTCAGCAAGCTCAACAACGTCGCCGAGCACAGACCATTTTATGCATATTTTTGAGCACTTCAGCGCATCCAGTTTCCGTACCCCGTACTCCCTGAGTATTGTCTCAAGTACAGGGGTCCCATTTTCATGCCTTTTCACGGCTATTTATGCCTAAAATCATAAAACCCATTTTTGCATGTAAATAGCCGTAGATAGAGAAGTGTTTATGCCGTAAATACCAAGCCTGGAGGCAGATATTGTATCGAGCTGCCACATTACGTAATCAGGGTCTATTGCGCGCAGCAAGACAGCGTAAGGCGAGGCCACGTAACGCTGTCCAATTTCTACTTAGTGCCATATATTAAAGGATTCCGCACAGTAACGTGACGCTAGGCTTCATAATGCTGAGCGCCAATACTTTAATTGACAGTATTGTCCTTAACACGAGCATTTTTCTCAGCAGTTTCGAAAAATTGCGGAGTCGCCATAAAAATCATCGACAAGGAGAGGTGGTGTTCTTTAGGGGGGCGCTTTGTGCGCGTGCCGGACTTGCGGACCAAGGTTCTGCTTTCCAATTTGTAATGGCTGTAAGTTGATCTGCTCATGCGGGATTTTCAATGCAGGTGTGAGCATTTGCCTCCCTGTGTGCGTGTCGCTGCAGGCGCGCAATTCTATTGTGGTCCCAGTAGTCTTGCCAGCTTGTTAAGGAAACATTTAATGCTCAGTAACCTCCAACTCAATTATGGATTCAAAATGGAAATCCTAAACCCTATTAGGAGTCTCCGCTAAAGTACCAGGCTCCGTAGGCAAGAATGGGATTGAAGCGAAAATAAAGTGAATCAAATTAATGTTCTATTATGAAATGCACTCAATTCATCAAGCCCTTGTCGATTCAAGGACGAGCTAGACGGCAAATCTTTTCGATAACAGGTACTGAAGGATTCAGGGATTAGGTATTATTTTGAATTTTAAATTAATAATAAGCATCTTCTGTGTGCCACACGGAACTCATTAGATGCAGCCACTGGTGGTGTGGGAGCTGTCCTATAAGGGGTATGGTGTCTACTTCCAGATTCTCTGGAAAAATGGCGCTAGATTTGCAGTAAATTATGTTATGCACATCCGATGTGCACATACGATTCGTAGCAAATGCTGGTGTTACCACTCTGGGAATTGAGTGCCAAAGCACTGCATTTGCGCCAACAACGCGATGACCGGATGTGCATTGCAGAAAACATCGAAGTAGAAATGACTGTTTCAACGCACATGATAGGGATGGCTCTGAAACATGCCACTGTCTCGTTCGAAGTCAACCGCAGGCAGTGGGATCTGAAGAGGCTTCTTCAGTGCATCCATAGTTTACAATGCACGCTTAGGAGGACATTTTGCCGCAGCCTCTCTTTTCTGTTGAAAGGGCATTTGTGCCCTGTTTGAGGGCGCTCTTCAATAAGGATTGACCTCAAGGCACAACTAAGTACTAGGAAGAATGTGGACTTCACCCAATCATCAATCGTTTACAACCATCATGGTGGGAATGAAACAAGCGATCGGTGACTTCTAGGCGGCAACGTGAGTCCACCGATATTTTGCTGCGCATATGGAACACGTGGTATTAATTGAAAATTGAAAATTCCATCACCATACTGAAACCACTTGCACTGGAGGCGATGGTGACGGTGGAGCTGCCTGTATTACTTGATAACGATAACTAGACAACTAATGAAGCAGTAGCCTATATGGCCGAAAGGATGTTGCGTCTTGCAATCCCGTTAAGAGTACATCCATGAAGGGGACAAGAAGAGGATTTCCATGACAATCAATCTCGAGTTGCAATCTGAATTGGATTTCCCGCAAATGCCCCAGTTCTTCTTGTCTTTACGGTTATCCTTCGTTTCAATTCCAGGTATTCAGTAATTCAGCACCCGCTTGTCTGGCATCGGGTACATTGGGTAGTTCTATACGTCTAAGATATCTCAAGCAAGTCAAGGTCATCACCCCTTGGTTGGTGACCCCATCGCAACCGCTTAAATCTAGAGCAGCCAAGGCATGCAAGTTGCTCAGCGATCTGACGCCATCATCCGTAATCCGGCAGCAATTTCTCAAATCCAGCTCTGTCAAAGAGACCAAACTCTCCAACCACCTCACGCCTTCATCCTTGACATTGATACACTCACACAACGTCAAACATGACAGGCGCGTCAGCCTTGATAGCCACTTAATCTCTGTGCCGAGAATATTGTTGCAGTCCCTGAGGGTGAAACTCTCCAGGCAAGCCATACAAGCCAAACATTCCAATCCACTGCCCTGCAGCTTGCACTGATCCATGACCAAAGCCGTGAGAGCTGTCAGGGTTGACAGGAAAATGATGTCAGCACTGCAGCCGTACAGCCAATGTAGAGACAAGTCCACCAGCCCAGTAAGCTCTCCTATCAACTGACCACCGATGCTTGAAATGCCTCTGCATTCAATCAGCCGGAGTCTTGACAGGGCACTAAATCGCTTCAGGCATCTCAATTCCTGACAATAGTCTTGGCCGTGACATGGAAAAGTAAGCTGGGATACGGCAGTGAGGGTGACCAGGCTCCTCACCCTTGCACTCTGCCCGTGCATAAGCTTAGGCAGATGAAGCTCAGCAAGATTCGTCAGCGTTGTAAGGTGAGCCACATCAATTTCGTTGCTGCTGCTGACAAGGCAGACGTCCAGGGTCACCAGGTTAGTAACACCCCTCAAGTTGTGCTGAACTGCGATCACCCCACTACCACAGTGTCCACCTAATGCGAGCTTCCTTAATGTAGATGTCTCCGCAAAGTGCCCCAAGTCCAGCTCCAAATTTCCCCCGAACCGGCGGGCACTGAGATCAGTGAGTGCTGGCAATAATGCCAAGCTGGCCATACCATGACGTGTTATAGTGCAGTGCCCGAATTTGAGCTTCATGAGGGACGTCAGATTTATCAAGGCTTGGATATCTTGATCAGTAAAATCGCAATGGAATGACTGGTCTGGGACCAGCTCTAGACTGACAAACGCCGCCATATCCCTCAAGACAGCCACCGCTGCTGGCATCTTGATGTCATGGCAGTACCGGATCTTCAGATGTTGCAGCCGAGGGCACTGCTTTAAAGGCACTAAATCAGCAGTCTCAGCATGCAACAGGTGGAGGCATTCTATCGCCGTGAAGACCTCGCACACGCCATGAACATTCCCGTTATGGTGCGTCCCGACTTGTAGCTCAAGTTCTTTGGTGGCCAGTGTGGCCCACTGGCACCAGTGGCGATTCACAAGACGTCCACGGCGGAGGAGCATAACAACCTCGTGTCCGGCCATCTTGCGCCTCACGCCATCCAACACATGGAAGAACAGGCGTCCCCAATCTGGTGGCATGACACAGTCCTGTAGCATCATTCAAGCCAATGCCCCACAGCCACATTTGATGGACGGTAAGCTCTGCGCACACCATTTCGAGGTGCAGCGTGATAGAATGCTGCCATCGCGAAAGCAATGATCGAAATGCCTGCCAGAGCAGATCGACTTTCATTCTGTAAATTTGCTTTGGTGCGACGGTATGGTGCTTTGCATGCATGTTGCCCCATTCTGGGAAGCGCACTGTCCACAAGCAATGCCACAATATTCTTCTTATTTCATGGCAAAACACTGCATTTTCAGCTTGTTTGGTGACGTTTGGCAGTGCCATGGGCGCACACACAGGACACACAGGACGCAGGGCCTCCTTTCAGATGTGCAATAAATGCAGCGAAGTTGCGCACTGGGACCTTGACATGGTGTTGAGCCAATGAAAACACTACCCAACGCTGTTCGAGACAATGGAGTTAGTATTCAAGATCAGCTTCGGTGTGGCCACGGCAATGAACAAGGCTGCACTAGGATTGCTTCCACTGCAACCTGGCTTCCGGTGAAGGATTCCGCTACGACATTATACCCTGATAAAGTACAGAGACAAGAGTACTTACTTGATTCGACTTATGCGCAGAGGATTGTGAGCTGAACGGCATCGAATTGTGCACAACCTGAACCAGCTTGGATCCCCTCTCCACCTCTGCGATTTTCCGATGTGCATCAACTCGCAATGTACAAAGGCCTGGGCATCTGGTTGTCTCCATCCCTTGTCGTTTTCTATCTTTGACCGACATTATACTGAGCCATGCGACGCTCGTCTTCTGCGAAAAGGAAAAAGCATAATAGGGGCAGATCTCGCTTATTGAGCAGGTCTAAGCATAGCCTCGAATTAACTCATAATTCCAGAACGCATGGAGCTGTCCACAGCGACCGTGTACCCATGTATACATGGGTCTTGTTGCCCATCCCTCCTCAATTTGTTGCTCACGTACGTACGTGAGCCACAAATTGAGGAGGGATGGGCAACAAGATCTTGGACGGCTTGCAGGGGACAGAACAAATCGCGCATTCCAGCCGGAAACATCAAAACAGTATCTGCTCAGATTACGCCCAAAGTGGTGACAGCATTGCAGCATCATATTCACGGACTTGGCTGGGCAACTGCTGTGTGTGGGATAACTGGTTTGAGGAGTTTTCTTGTGAAATTATTTTAAAAAAGGGTGGAAACTATAGCAAAGGGTAACTGTGTCTCAAGCAAGAGGATTTGATTCCCTTATCTCCAAAGTTGATTGCAATTCGCAAGTGGACGATCGTAAGATTCATGGGGCGACGGAATGCTCGAATGCAGCCCCAATGCTGTTGGGCTTCCAATCGGACGTGCGCGAACGTCTTTGTACCGTTGAGGACGAGCTATTTCAAACAGTACTGAGACTTGTACAATGGATGAGGAACACGCATTTGCAATTTGTGCGGTCGTATGTGACCATCGTCCTGACAGATAACAGCATCGATCACGTCCGTGGTTCAGGCATTTTTTAACCGCTGGGGAGCGACCTGGGTCTCGCATCGCCATCTCCCATCGCCTCAACTTGTCTGGATCATTAGGCGGTGTCAGTAGCTCGTTGCCCCTGTCCTGTGACCACTTAATCGCTGCGTTCCATCGGCGCTTGCTTTGAGTGACAGCCGCAGCAGATTCCACGGCTCAAGCGCTGGCGCGGCGTATGCTCAACGCATCCTTTATTTTTAAAGGTTCACTGGAGCCATCGCGCCCAAGAAACGCGGTGGATGAGCGTCCAAATGGGACTGGGTCGTCGCAAAGGAATGTCAGAAAGTACTTTTAGAGCCCTGATTCCATGTCTGCCCCGTGGGCCCGTTTCCTTATCCATATCTACCGTTCTTTACCTGCGCTCTCGTCCACCTCCTTCAAGAGGTACCCTGCAAAGAGCAAGGTTCCCCAGCTGGTGGTGTTACGCCTTGGCCAATAGCATCATGAAGGTGCTTGACCAGCAACTTCGTTGTGCCCGGCTCCCCATCGCCCCACCCCACCTATCCCTCTGTTAAAAAATGTAAAAGGATAAAAGAACGGAGAGAAGAATTCGCGCGCCCACACAACCTTACTCCCGGAATCCCCTGGAAAATTTCACCACCAGCGCTCTCCGTGTTGTGCCGGACGCGCACCATGGTCGGGTGGGTTTGTGCCCTGCTTGCATCAGCTCATGGCATGAGCTGCATCAGCTCACGGCATGAGCTGCATCAGCTCGCCAGATGAAACCACTGTGACGTCATGTCTTGGGTGACCAACGTTATACATATTACCGCAATCGTCTCACTTGCGACTGCGGCTGCCGCTTATTTTTTGCTCTTGGAGTGGAGTTATCAAACATTCATGAAAACTAATACCTTGTAGTGTATCAGTATTTTTGACCTGACGAGTGGATACATCTAAGAGCGTTCCCATACAGCACCTTGCCGGAAAAGTTAGCCTAAACAGTGACGCAAACCACACTTACCACTACCCGCTGTGAGCACAGTGAATTAGCACTCGCTGCACTACCCTCTGCGTGGCGAGCCGTGGGGCTACGCCCTCTGAATATTCTGGCGAGCTGCAACACAGGAACGGGCGGCAGACCCGGTTCTAGGGCAGCGAATATGGTGTCTTGCACGTACACAGGATGCAGCGACCGCCAGTTGGAGAAGATTGTCAGAATCTCCCTCCACTGCCATTCTTGCGAGGATTTGACCTCAATCTTGATCGCTTTCTCCACAACATCACTCGGACATGTCGAAAAGTTGGACGGTGTCGCCAAACGTCGAAACCAAGGCGATATCATGCCTCCGAACGCATTTCACATGGCCGATCGCCGACAATGGCCGCCACTCCATTTGTTGTTGATATTCTAGGAGCTGCAGTTAAGCGTTGTGAGCACATGGCCACCCTTGGGAGCGACGACGTCGTGTCGACACCGCTGACTTGCAATAAATTTTGCGGGCCGATTGCAGTCGTATGTGGAAAGCTTGAATGCATTGGCTTTGTGCTCAGTGCCTTGACAGGACATCAATGCGCATTGAGGCATGCCTTAACGGCACCAATTTCTTCCCAGGCATCAACGTCTGATTGCATATCCAGGTAACAGTGGCACTGTCCGTTCCATATTGGATTTACAGAGTATGAGCCATTTCACCAACGAAGAATGAGGGGAAGCACCACTAACTTGATGCAAATCAAAATCCCCGAGATCTCACTGGTGCTCCTTTCCCTAGTGGACACTGCGTCGCCAAACCTCCAAGCATTGGGGTGACTGCGACACATTCCAGAATCTAACCAAAATCATTCCTGTTGCCGTTTTTTATTTGCGCTGCATCGCTATACAGACCACGTGCGGTGTGCTGCAATTGTGGTACACACCGGAAAATGAGCAAGTTTGAAATGAAAGTCAGGCTATGAAATGGAGCTCTGTGCCCTCACACGCATCCTGCGAAGCATCACCATCATCATCATCATCATCATCATCATCATCATCATCATCTGCTTCTGACCTACATCGCCGAAAGGTATGCTGCTGGGAGCGGAGTTGGGTTTAGTGAACGCTATGTAACTAAGGAATTCATCATCATCATCATCATCATCATCAATTTTTACAGAACAAGGCAATGAGGAATCCTTCGAGGCACTGGGAGACAGCCACCTGCGTCGTTTGACATGCTGGGCCAAAGGCACATTTGCCAAAAATGCCGGGCACCTCGAAGCACCATGGAAATGACCCGACTTTGCTGCCAGACACTGGTGTCTGCATGCAATCATTCCAGCGTTATGCACAAATTACTCACAGCTGCGTATTTTGCTCGGGCAAAATAGGAAGCTGACGGCTACTTCATGGCCTTGTTCTGTTTAAATTGATGATGCTGAATCACAGAAACGTGCATCACATGCGTCAAGATCGGTTGGTTGCCCTGCTTCTTGGTGGGTCCGACGGCCAGGTGGGCTCCAAGCCTCGCCCACCCACCGAGACGGACACGCTGATGACTTCGAGGCGGCGAAGCGGTTACGGGCTGCAACTCACAACTGAACCGAGCTCCCGCAAGGGCGCGCGTTTTCGCAGCCTCCTGCCTTTTGCACGAGAGCCCTTGACTGTGGAATCCGCATCGACGGTCGCTCCGCAACAGTTCAGGAGTCTGGACATCAAACTGCGGGGCCGGCAACGGCGCTCAGAAGGACCTGCCAATGGCGCAGGTGGGTCGGGGGGTTGCCGCGCACGACCGGTTGGCGTCTAAACCCAATCAAACGAAAGCCTGGGCGAGCACAAATGGGTGCCGGGTTGTTGGATCCAGTCGGCCACGCTCTCAAGTCAGCATTCCCGCGCCCTCAGCCATCGCCACGCGGGTGAGCTCGCCGGCGGGAAGATTTGTAGCCAGGCATCCCTGCGACGCAAGCTGCAACGGCGTGCATTAGCAGTTCTGCTTGCCAGCCCAATCTTGCCCTCCCCCTCCCTCTTTGGTTGAACGGCGGCGGGTTGCGGCTGCACGGATTCGTTCCGATTCTGATTTGCCGCCCGGTCTGCCAACCTTTGTTCATCACAGTCCTGGCCTCGATTTCGAGAGAACCAAGGTGTCCCACGTCGCGAGGCTATTGCGCGGGACCGCAATGCCGCGGACGGCAATTTCACGCCGCCCCGCGCGTAAGCCCTCCAGCAGCAGGCCGCCACCTCGCACAGTGTGTGTTTTGGACGTCCCACGCCAATGCGCCGCGAATCTTGGAAAATGGATTGGGAGGCCATACCGCGCTTTGAGCGACACCAGCCCCGTCGCAGACCGCCACGCGTGTGTGCTCTCGGCTGCCGTGGGCCCCAAGCTGTCGCCCTCTTGCCCGGAAGGGTTCTGGCCCTGGCAGACGCAGAGGTCTGAGGAGTTTTGTTTGGATTTGCTCGCAGGTTGGTGAAGCCACCAGATGCCAGGGGCGCCCGCTCTTTGAGGGCATGAAGCACAACGCCCTGGTGGTGAGTCCCACGAGCCTTATCCCCTTGCGCATTCTGCCCTGCCGCTGGTGTTCTCTCCCATGCAAGCCTGGAATGGGCGTTTTGGAATGGCCGGCAGGCGTGTGGACAGCCGCTTTTGCCGCCGTAGGTTGGCCCCCCCAGCCCGCCCAACGTGAGGCATGGCCTCATCGAAGGAGGGCCCATTGGCCAGAAGGCCACTCCGGAGGCACGTGCCACACCGCCGCTGTCGCCTGAGGTGGCCGCCAAGGTGGAGGCGTCCAGCGAGAGCAGCAGCACTGTCACTGATGGTGAGCACGGCAGCAGTGACCGGCAGGGAGACTTTCCTCCGGCGCAGCTGCAAGGTCCTCCACAACAGACTGAGAGTCAGGAAATTGTGGAGTGGGTGGCCGATGACCACCTGGACCAGCCCGTTCGGCTGGCGGAGTGGGACGTAGCCACCGATGAACAGGATACGAGCTTGAGGGTCACCTGGGATGCCATTGAGGTGGTGTCCGGAACTGCAGTCCACGTCGCAGTTCCCTGGGTTCGGGTGACGTTCAGCGTCATCGAACACGGGCCAGGGGGCGACGCGGACATCCCATTTGGTTGGGAAGCGTGGGATGATGCTGAGGACGAGCCGGTGCTCGGCTGGGCGACATCTCCACTCCGTGAGTGGTGCATGAAGCACCAGCCGGCTTGGGAGGATGAGGAGGATGAGGAGGAAGAAGAGCCACGAAAGGGAGATGGAGGCTCTTTTCTGGTGAGTGTTCCCTGATGGAACTGCATGCAAATGTAGCTGTGCAACCGGCACATAACGAGACAGTGCGTGTCTGGCCAAGAAGCTTCGTTGCGACATGCACTTTTCTCGTTATGTGGGACAGGGCTTGCGGCCCATTGCATCCCACATGCAGTCCAGGTCTTGCAGCCGCTCTAGCAGAAAATCTGTGTATGGTATCACATCGATGACCTCTTGGCAAAGGTTTGAGAATATTGCATAACCAATTCCATGTGCATGTGACCGGGAACTGAAGTACCACCCGTGTGCCCCTGCAGGGAAGGCGGCTGCTGGTGTGGGCAGGTGTCGTTGCTTTTGCGGGAGCGTTCACTTGCTTTATGGCAATGACAAGGCGATCTTGATTGGACTTTGTTAGACAGAAAAAGTTAGTTCACGAGGGCGGGAACAGGCAGTTTTTAGATGATAGGACGATGGGGAAAGTCAAAAGAAAACAGTCGGCCATGGTGCTCTGCCTCACAGATAGATAGGTCTACCTTTGCGTCTC